GGGAAGTTTGGTGTTTTATTATGTTTATATATGTGTGGGAAACCGCGCGGACTGGCTGGGCTGACCCAAGCGGATGGGCGGGGAACAATAATAAAATTATGACGGTCATGATTCGCCCTAGGTGGGCAAGCTGAGGCGTGCACAGGTGTGCTCTGCGACAGAGCTGCTGCCTCCTTTTCACCTGCTGTCGACCCAGGGCACCTTGTTGGTTAATCTAACCCGGAATCGGCCAACCGAAGGCACACCCAGCGCTGCTTTGGCTTCCTGTACCTTGAAGTCCCCTTTCGGACGCTCATTTTTTTCCGACACTGTTCGCTAGATACAGGCCCTTCACAACAAAGGAGAGTATTGTTTCAGAGGGAAAGGAAGGGCACAGAGAGAGAGAAGAGAAACAGTCAGGAGCAAAGAGACTTTGGCCAGCTCTGTGTCCGTCCTGGGAATGAACGTGAGCCTCTGTTAACGGAGAAATCTGAAGGTTCCCTTGGACAAAAAACAAGGACCCCAGCCAGGAATCCCAGAGCAAAACAGCAGCCAGTAGGCTTGGTCTTGATTGAAGACAGACAGGACTCCCACCTGCCACCAGGTGGAACAAGATGGAAGCACCAAACAAAAGAGAACCCAAACTTTTATTAGCTGCTAATCCCCATTACAGGGACACGGGTGGTGCTGTGGGTTAAACCACAGGGCCTGGGACTTGCCGATCAGAAGGTCGGCTGTTCGAATCCCTGCAATGACGGGGTGAGCTCCCGTTGCTCGGTCCCTGCTCCTGCCAACCTAGCAGTTCGAAAGCACCTCAAAGTGCAAGTAGATAAATAGGTCCCGCTCTGGCAGGAAGGTAAACGGCGTTTCTGTGCGCTGCTCTGGTTCGCCAGAAGCGGCTTAGTCCTGCTGGCCACATGACCCGGAAGCTGTACGCCGGCTCCCTCGGCCAATAAAGCGAGATGAGCGCCGCAACCCCAGAGTTGGTCACGACTGGACCTAACAGTCAGGGGTCCCTTTACCTTTTTAATCCTCATTACACCCCCCCAAACTACATCACTCATACATCATGGTTACATCATGAAAGGGGAGGTCTGGTAGCCGCAATCTGAGCATCCTGGACCCTGCCCCATGGTTCTCCTTGCCCTCCACCAAACACCCATCAAGTGGAACAAAAGAGATATTTACATTTCCCTGTTTCCCAGCCAAGTTCATCCCACCCTTTTGTCTCCATCTGGGTTTGTTATTTCTGGAATGGCTACCTGTCTGGCACTCAGGTATCAGGAGGCCAGGGATTATCACTCAGGCAGAGGGGCTGCTGAGGAGCTGAGCTCACCTGTCTATAGGAATTTCTGAAGTTTTCCCAGTGAGCCAGTACATAGGAACGTTTACCAGTGAATTCTGTCATTTGGTATCGTGCAGCAGAGACCCTTTGAATAGATAGGAAGAAACTGCGATGAAGTGTTTTGTGGGGACAAAGCACAAAAGTCACAAAAGCGATTGTGCTGGGTTTTGGTAGTGGGCTGCACGTGCGTGATATCTGCTGGAGGCGCAACCCCCCAAAAAACCTATACATAAATTCCTGCAACACTCTTCAAAAGTTCAGAGGGAGGGAGGCGATCTTTGCAGGCTGTTCCGAAAAGGAGAGAGAGAAACGGATCATCGCTTGGCAGACAGGCGATGCCTTTGGAAGAGCTTGCAGCAGGCTTGGCCACCAAAGGAATATTGTCTGGTTTTTCCATGTGGGGCCGGAATGAAGACATTTCCAGGGTTTAACTCCCCTTGTCCCGGCCACCTCCGGAAATGCAACAGAGAGTGGGTTTTTTTTGCATTTTTGCACGCCAGTGGAAAAAGCGCTCTCCTCCACAGAGACCTTCTTTGGGTGTTGAAATATTAGCAGGGGGGTCCCTTTTGGAAGTGCAAATTTGGGGAGGTGCGATTCTGTTCGCATTTAACTAATTTCTCCTTTGGGAAACGCGGCACAAACTGGAACGGAGCCGAGCTATGATATTCACGCTTCTCCGAATTTTGCAAAGGAGTTTTTCCAGCCCTGCAGTAATGTGTACAAAAATACGCAGATTAAGGGAAAAGCACAAATTAGGCGCCACTTTTGAGTCTTTTTATTCTTTTAATGCCAACACTCCTAAAACAGGAGTTGCTTAAAACAAATTCTTTATTCACTTGACATCTGGCGGGAGAGCGTTCCCGGAGACTGACTCTGGTTATCGCCTGCTTGGACTACTGCCACGCGCTCTCCGTGGGACTACCTTTGAAGGTGACCCAGAAACTACAACTAATCCAGAATGCGGCAGCTGGACTGGGGACTGGGAGTGGAGACCACATAACACCGGTCCTGAAAGACCTACATTGGCTCCCAGGACGTTTCCGAGCACAATTCAAAGGGTTGATGCTGACCTTGAAAGCCCTAAACGGCTCAGTAGACCTGAAGGAGCGTCTCCACCCCGGACACCTGGGTCCATCTCCTGAGGGCCTTCTGGCGGTTTCCCTCCCTGCGAGAAGCGAGGTTACAGGTAACCAGGCAGAGGGCCTTCTCGGTGGTGGCGCCCTCCCATCAGATGTCAAGGAAATAAACAACTACCTGACTTTTAGAAGACATCTGACGGTAGCCCTGTTTAGGGAAGCTTTTAATCTTTAATGCTGTATTGTTATTAATATCCGATTGGGAGCCGCCCAGTGCTGCTGGGAAAACCCAGCCTGATGGGCGGGTCATAAGTGATAAATTATTATTATTATATTATTATTATTATTAATGGGCTTGTATTCCACCTCCTGTTTTCCCAGCGGGATTTTGATTTAACTAGGGCGACGGGGAGCCTCTGCTGTCCGAGAGGAGGACAACAAAAGCATCCCTTGTTTGCGACACATTCTTGCCCTCGTTTCGAGAGGGAAATTGAGCATGGAGCAGCCCCAAGAGGGATGGAATTTCTCTCCCGGTTGCAAACAACAACAGATTCTTGTTCGAGGTTTGCCTGGCTGAAGGCCCGCAGGAGCCCAAAGAGGTCCCTTTTCGGAGAGAATTGCTTTTCTGTATCTTCTTTGAGCTCTCTGCTTCCTCAATCTTGGGCTGGAAAAGGTTCCCTGTCCCTGGCAGAAGCGAAATACAGATCCAGTTCGTCTTCAAAGGCAAACCCGTCGAATTTGCGTTTCCCGGAGCGAAACGAGAACCGAAATATATAGGTGGAATACGCCTGTGTAAAAGAATGTCAAAATATCAATCGGCTGGCAGGTTTCGACTGAGTTTCTCATTTATAAATCGGATAACTTTATAAAATTTAAAGTTAAGCCGAACAACATGGAGGAAACAAAGCTAAGTGCGGATTCGAGGAATCCAATTCGGGAACGCAATGCGAAGATCAGAGGTCACGTTAAATTCAATTATAAAATGATCTTTTATCAATTCAATTTGTAAAATTTATAAATTCAATTATAAAATGATGAAGTATCAATGAAGGAATGAATGGCTGTTTATTTTTATTTTGTCTTCAACATCTATTGAGTATTTCCGTTCTACAGTTTCAAAACCAATAAAGCATTAAAAAGAGAGAGAAATGAAATACGGCCATGCTTGGATTTTGCGACGCAGTTCTGCAACCGACCGATGTTTGCAAAAAAAAAAAAAAAAACATGCACAGCACATGTATGTCAGGGGAAATAACATACCCAAACTGCTTTGTATTGCAGGGGCAAATCCTGTTGTAGTTTGGAAAATTCATAAATAAAAGCTTTTTTTTAATAATAATAATAAGGAAAAAGTACCATATTTTTTGCTCTATAAGACTCACTTTTTCCCTCCTAAAAAGTAAGGGGAAATGTGTGTGCATCTTATGGAGCGAATGCAGGCTGCGCAGCTATCCCAGAAGCCAGAACAGCAAGAGGGATTGCTGCTTTCACTGCGCAGCGATCCCTCTTGCTGTTCTGGCTTCTGAGATTCATAATATTTTTTTTCTTGTTTTCCCCCTCCAAAAACTAGGTGCGTCTTGTGGTCTGGTGCGTCTTATAGAGCAAAAAATATGGTAACCGCCTTCCCCGTCTCATGGCCAAGAGGGGAATAAGATCACTGTATAAATAATCCATAGTAACGTACGAAAACTTATACAGAACAGATAGTGAACAATATAGATGGATGGATGGATGGATGGATGGATGGATAGATTAGATAGATAGATAGATAGATAGATAGATAGATAGATAGATACTGTATTTTTCGTTCTATAGGACGCACATTTTCCCCTCCAAAAATTAAGGGGAAATGTGTGTGCGTCCTATAGAGCGAATGCAGGCTGCGCCGCTAAGCCCAAAGCCAGAACAGGAAGATGGAGCACTGCGGAGGGCTCCGTCTTGCTGTTCTAGCTTGGCGACGGCTGCGCGCACAGCCTCTCCAGGGCAGCGGGGCGCTGCGCTCCAAAGGCTTCAGGGATCTTTGAGGCTGGCGGTGGGGGAAAGCAGCGCTTCCCCCCACCGCCAGCCCACAAGCTCTGGTGAATGTACCTTGAACGCACCTTGTTTTAGAGGGGGAGAACAAGAAAAAAAAAATTTCCCTGTGTGTTTCTGTTCTTTTCTTCCAATTGACTTCCTTCATCCTCAACACGGTTCTCTTTTTCGTTCGTTATTTCCCCCTTTTTCTTACCATTTTTAATTTAAGTACCATAAATTATCTCCCAGAAGTGAATCGAAACAAGCCCAAGTATTAATTTGAGGGCACTGCTTTTAAGGTTTTCCCCACTTAAAAAAATAATATATATATTATTTTTGCTTGTACTGGCCCCTAATTGCCCCTGTCAGCCTGGCCAATTCAGTATAGTCAAATTGTCTTGCCGTTCTTTCATTTATTTATTTTTGTCGGTATTATTTCTTCCCCCCCTGGTTTTGGGCAATTTGTGTTCTCGCAGCCCCTGTCGCATAAAGGAATCTTTTCTGATTTTCTCTGGCTATATCTGTGTCTAGTATCCCAAATTTTGGGGCTGCCACTCAACTTTTTCTCTTCCCCCCTGCGATTTCAGGAGAAGAGGAAGCGCCAAGCCGAGATCGAAAACAAGAGGCGGCAGCTGGAAGACGACCGGCGTCAGTTGCAACACTTAAAGGTAGGGAGAGCTGCTGGCCTGTGGCTGGAAGGAATTAGGATCTGAACCCGCTCCCCAAAAATTCGGGGGCGGGGAGAGGCGCTCACTGTTTGCCAGAAGTTGCTTAAGGTCATGCAGAGACATTCGGCAACTGAGGTTATGCTAAATAATGCTTTAAATAAATTTAAAAAGCAACAATAGCAACAATAACCCTTCCAAGTTGTACGACTCTACGGTTCTCCTCTTTGCCTCTTTGTTGCCTCCAGTCAAAGACCTTGAGGGAAAGATGGTTGCTGGAAGGAGCCCCTTCGTCGACGGCCGAGGAAGGTGACGCCTTGAAAAAGCAGATGCAAGAGGACGACTTGAAGGCCAAGGAGCTGGAAGAAAGCATCCAGAGGTAAGGGCGCAGGTGTGTTATTGGCCGAGGGAGCCGGCGTACAGCTTCCGGGTCATGTGGCCAGCAGGACTAAGCCGCTTCTGGCGAACCAGAGCAGCGCACGGAAACGCCGTTTACCTTCCCGCCGGAGCAGTACCTATTTATCTACTTGCACTTTGCTGTGCTTTCGAACTGCTAGGTGGGCAGGAGCAGGGACCGAGCAACGGGCGCTCAGCCCATCGCGGGGATTCGAACCGCCCACCTTCTGATCGGCAAGTCCTGGGCTCTGTGGTTTAACCCACAGCGCCACCTGCGTCACTTGGGTACCTTAAAATTCCTATAACAGGGAGTTGGATAATTTCGATGGCAGATGATGATGAATCCTGATGAGTTCGTTGCACAGTTTATAAAGCAAAGGGAAGGCAGAGAGAGAGTGATGCGTTCGCTGCCTTTAGAAGTTGCAGGAGATACAAGACTCACATATGCGGCTTAGGGCCCTCGTATTTATAGAACCGCCTCTCCTGGTCTGCCCCGCAGAGGACCTTAAGGTCCATGAACAACCATAGTTTAGAGGTCCCGGGTCCTAAGGAAGTCAGACTATCCTCTACCAGGGCCTTTTCAGTGGTGGCTCCGACCTGGTGGAATGCTCTGTCCCATGAGACCAAGGCCCTGCAGGATTTAACTTCCTTCCACAGGGCCTGTAAGACAGAGCTATTCCGCCTGGCTTTCAATTTGAATTCAGCCTGATCTTTTATTCCCCTTCCTTCCCTCCCCTTTTATGAAGATCACCCGCTCTGAGACCCCACAGCTAATTCTCCCCTGACCTCCTCACTGGCCCAAGTAGGACCAATTCAGCCAGCTAGCCCTGGGGATTATCTAAGGCTTATTTCCCCTAAATCGATTTTCGAATTTTATTGTTATTCGTGTTTTTATACTGTATCTTATGCTGCTTTTTACAATTAAGTGTTTTAAATTTCTTGTTAGCCGCCCTTAGCCCGGTTTTTGAACCGGGAAGGGCGGGGTATAAATAAAAAAATATTATTATTATTATATGCCGGCCGCTGCATTGATGTGTATCGTACGGCAGACTCCTCTGGGGGAAACTGCCTCTTCTGGAGAACAGAGTGTCACTGGCAAGGCTTCACGTCTCTGTTCCAGGCAGCACCTCTCCCTTTGGCAAGGGCTGAACCGCGGTCCGCATTTGGAGAGGCCAAAAGAAAGGGAGAGGTTTAGAGAGGGTTATGCAAACCGAGGAAACCGTCTTCTTCCAGGGATGAGCATTCATTCCCCTCCCTCCAGAGCCCCTCTCTTCCCTTCTCCTGCTCTAAAGGGATCCTGGCAAGCAGTGGATACACAAAGCCATCTCTGCTATCCGATTAAGAGACAGCCGGTAGCTGTTCCTCGCCTTCGGGTCTCCCAGGCGAGACAATCCCTTTGTTGAGTCTTTTTAAAGTTTGCACGGGGATGAATCGGACCTGGCGGTCGCCCCAGCCAGAAGCGGATCTCTGCAAAGGTTGCTTTTCGGTCTGGAGGAAAGGCATGTTCGTGGAGTCATAGAATTAAATAATAATAATATTTACACCCCGCTCATCTGGCTGGGTTTCCCCAGCCACTCTGGGTGGCTCCCAACAGAATATTAAAATTAGAATAAAACATTGAAAGCTTCCCTAAACAGGGCTGCCTTCAGATGTCTTCTAAAAGTCAGATAGTTGTTTATCTCCTTGACATCTGATGGGAGGGTGCCACCACTGAGAAGGCCCTCTGCCTGGTTCCCTGTAGCTTCACTTCTCGCAGGGAGGGAACCGCCAGAAGGCCCTCGGGAGAGGGACCCTGGTGTCCGGGGTGGAGACACTCCTTCAGGTCTACTGGGCCATTTAGGGTTTTCAAGGTCAGCACCAACCCTTTGAATTGTGCTCGGAAACGTCCTGGGAACCAATGGAGGTCTTTCAGGACCTGTGTTATGTGGACTCCACTCCCTTCCAATGCCGTTTCCCTCTTCCAGGTTGGAGAAGGAGCTGGAGCAACTGGAAAATGGGATCTCAGCGTCGTCCACCAAAGAGAACATGGCTGAGGAGACGCGGGCGGGGGGCAAGGAGGACAAGTCGCCCCGCACACCGAAGGTAAGAAGCCATCCTTCTCTCCCCCCCCCCTCAGCCTGAGAATATATTTATTATTATTACTATTAATAATATTAATATTAGTGTTGGAAGCCGCCCAGAGTGGCTGGGGCAGGTGGATAGATAGATAGATGATAGATAGATAGATATGATAGATAGATAGATGATAGATAGATAGACAGATAGACCGATAGACTGATTGACCGATAGATCGATCGATCGATCGATCGATAGATAGATAGATAGATAGATAGATAGGTGTAAACTGCTTAACTTATTATTTGCTGATGTTTAATTTCACTGTATATTATGGGATCCTAATGGATTATTGAATACAGTGTGGTGCCTCGCAAGACGAAATTAATTCGTTCCGCGAGTTTTTTCGTCTTGCGATTTTTTCGTCTTGCGAAGCACGGTGTCAGAAAAGTTTTGGAAAAGCTTCAAAAATCACCAAAGTCTTCAAAAACCTCAAAAAAGGCTACCACACCGCGTTCTATGAGTTGCTCCTCGAAGTCAAGTCGCAACTGTATTAACGGTGTTAAGAAAAAGGAAACAAACTTGCAAGACGTTTCCGTCTTGGGAAGCAAGCCCATAGGGAAAATCGTCTTGTGAAGCAGCTCAAAAAACAAAAAACCCTTTCGTCTTGCGAGTTTTCCGTCTTGCGAGGTACCATTGTATTGCTTTATTTGATATGAGCTGTCTATTGTGACTTTTTATATTGGGTCAGATTGTTGCTATAAATGCTTGATGTTTTTAGTACTACTACTACTACAACTATGTGTGTTCGAAGCCGCCCAGAGTGGCTGGGGCAGGTATAAATCTATTTATATATAAAAAATCTCAGCCTGGCCTGCCCCTCAGGGTTGTGTGACCTAGGCCACCTCAAATTCAGGAGATGGTGCTGGTCTGGCTCCCGTGTTTTTAAACTTTGATATACTCCATTTAAACATATTTTCTCCCCCTCCTCTTAATGTCTGCTCTCTTTTCCCACAGACTCCTCTAGGCTCGGCCAAAGGTAGGTACCTTTGTTTGTTTGTTTCTTTCTTTGCATCTATGTCCCACATTTTCCTCCAAGCTGAACGTGAGCCAACTCTGTGATGCAGCAGCAAAAAAGTCCAATGCTATTCTAGGCTGCATCCACAAAAGTCCAGTGTCCAGATCAAGAGTCCCTCTCGATTCCGGCTTGGTCAGACCACAGCTAGAATCCCGTGTCCGGTTCTGGGCGCCACAATTTAAGGATATTGACAAGGTGGAAAGTGGGCAAGATGATCAAGGGGTCTGGGAACCGAGCCGGATGAGGAATGGTCGAAGGAGCTGGGGATGTTTAGCCTGGGAAAGAGGAGGGATAGGAGAGCCATCTTCCGATATCTCGAGGGCTGTCCCATGGGAGAGTGTACATACATGCTTCTTTTCTCCTGCTCTGCAGGGCAGAACTCGAACCCGTTACTTCCTTATAGGGCCATTGGGGCGGAGGTCCTCTACCCCCGTTTTTAAATCCCGGTTGGATTTCGAAAAGGAGCTACAGCCGTACCTCCCCTTACGTACCGGGGAGGCGAACGCAGCAAACCCAGAAGTATTTTTCCGGGTTTCTTCGCCGTCGCGCATGCATGCACAGAAGTGCTAAACCTCTTCTTTTTTTTTAATGGAACCCCTTCTATAGGATCCTGCATATAAATTTTCCCTCGGCCCTTTTGCTGGCCCGTGTAGGACCAGCAGGGATAGCTGGCCCTGGTGAATATTTGACGTCTCCTCTCCTTACGGTCTTGATTTATGGGCCGCCAGTAAAACGAGGCTGCATTTTAAGCCGTCTTCTAATCAATTGGGGGGAGTTGTTTTGGTTTTTCTAACTGTATTTTATATTTGGTGTTAGCCGCCCTGAGCCCGGTCTTGGCCAGGGAGGGCAGGGTATAAATAAAATATTATTATTATTATTATTTATTATAAACCACGCTGCACACATGCGCAGAAGCGGTGCCTCAGAGCAGGGAGCAGTGCGTTGTCCTGCTGTGTTGCTAGGTTGGTAACGCCAAGGTTGCAGGTTCGAGTCCCTGCCTCGTGGGGGGTTGGGCTGGATGACCTCCAGGGGTCCCTTCCGACAGTTCTGTGATTCTGTGATTCTAACTCCCTCCCCACCCTTCTCCTCCTTGCCCCCAAGTGGAAAACAGAGCCTCCAACAGCCCTTTAAAAGTGGCGGAAGGCGGTGGGATGATGAAGGCAGGTAGGTCGGATCGTGGCCTCTTGCTCTTACGGGCGCACTAATCCTTTAAGCTCTTGGGCCCCCCAAAAAATGGGGCGGCCGGGGGGACGACGGCAAGCCCCTCTGCCTGACTGTAGTGGCATGCTGCTTTCGCCTGCTTTCGCCGGGAGTGGGGTGGGGTGGCCTAATTATCTCGGGGGAACCCCCTGCGTTTTTTTGTGGGCAAACCCCACATGGCTTAATTGGTGATGGGTTAGAGTGGGGCCGGATTTACGTGTAAGCTAAACAAGCTGTAGCTTAGGGCCCCACTCTCTTGGGCCCCAAAAAAATTTAAAGGAAAAAAACCACTGGATGTACATTTCCAAAATATTATCATCTATCTATCATCTATCTATCTATCTATCTATCTATCTATCTATCTATCATCTATCTATCATCTATCTATCTATGCCAGTGTTGGATCTACGTATAAGCTAAACAAGTTGTAGCTTAGGGCCCCTCTCTCTTGGGGCCCCCCCAAAAAAATTAAAGGAAAATTAAATTAAAGGGGGGAAACCAACCTGTATGTACATGTATGCAAAATATTATCTATTTATCTAAGCCAGTGTCGGATTTATGTATAAGCTAAACAAGCTATAGTTTAGGGCCCCACTCTTTTGGGGTCCCCCAAAAAATTTAAAGGGAAAAAACCACTGGATGTACATTTCCAAAATATTATATGTCTATCGATCGATCAATCTATCTATGCCATTGCCAAATTTATTTATAAGCTAAACAACTCTATCTTAGGACCCCACTGGACATACGTTTCCAAAATATTATCTATCTATATCTATCATCTATCTATCTATCTATCTATCTATCTATCTATCTATCTATCTATCATCTATCATCTATATCTATCATCTATCTACCTCCATCTATCTATCTCTATCTATCTATCTATCTATCTATCTATCTATCTATGCCAGTGTCGGATTTACATATAAGCTAAACAAGCTATACCTTAGGGCCCCGCTCTCTTGGGGCCCCCAAAAAATTTAATGGGGGAAAAAAACACTGGATGTACATTTTCAAAATATAAGATAAAAAACAAATATAATAAAGCCTACATCCAGCAACCGTGTTTTGTGTTGTGTAGGCTCCTCAGGTGTAAGTCCTGGGCTCCGCCTGCTCCCTAAAATATCCCTGGTTTGCTCCTTTCTATATATAGGGTGCCGACATTCTGCATGGACCGGTTGCACGGCCACACTTGCAAATGGCTTGAGATACCTATAAGGTCCATAAATGACAATATAACATATATTCAACAGAAAAAAACAGTGGCAATGTGTTGTTGACAAAGGACAGCTGGACATATAAAGGGCCCCATTACCTTCAGGAGCTGAGGGCCTCATCCAACCTAAATCCGGCCCTGGGTTAGAGAGCGCCGTGCTTAAACTCAAAACCGAATAATGCACTTGAGAATTGCTGCGTCAATTTCCCCCTCTTCCTTGCTTCTAGGCTAGTGCTCTCTCTCCTTCTATATATATAATTTTATTTTATTTGTACCCGGTCCACTTTGGGCAGCGTCCAGCATACGCGAAGCCATTATAAAATATTAAACATTAAAAACTTCCCCTATGCAAATCTCTCTCCGGTTGCAATCGAAATTATTCCACCCTCGGTGCATATCAGGACGGTTATCCAAATTTTACAGGCTTTTTCGGCTGTTCGCCCTGAGCAAATCGAACCAGAGCAATTTAAACGGCTGTTGCATTTTCAGCTGAATTTGGGGGACCACCTGAACCCCCAAAAAAGGTTATTCATTTGCCCTCGTCTTGCAGTTCTTAAAAATTCCCGCTCCCATTCCGCCCAGCACAGATTTTGCAACATAACTCTTCCCTTTGTGCTTGAACCGAATGTGTGAGCAGCAGTGCCTCTGAGAAAGTGCAGAGTCCTTTTTCTTCACTGCCGTCGGCGTGGGGTTTTTTCAGGGGGGTGACGTTTGGCGTGGCAAAGGGGAGACTGAAACGTGGTCTCCCCAGCTTCGGTCCACAATTCCTCCTCTCGCTCCCTCCAAATAAACAAACAATACCGGGAAGTGCTAATCGCAGGATCTAATTGGAAAATTTTGTGAATAAATAGATTTGCATTTGTTCTAATTGCGGGAAATAATTGGGTTCTTAAAAATGAATTAATTAAACAAACAGATTTGCATCCGTTTTGCTCCGGCGGCAGAAAACCCAATTGGATGCTCAGGATAAAATCAATTTGCGTTATATTTCAGCCTCGCCGGGGAATCGAAGGGGGGAAGAGTTAGATAAGCGCTAACGCGTTCTAGGTTAGAGGAAATGACATTACGGGAGACGAGACGCGCTGGGTGATATTCTAACTTGTTGAGGTTTAATTGGCAGCTTCGGAGAAATAGATCTGCGTTCTTTAATTCCGACTGCAGAACTTAATGGTTTTGTTTGTTTTGAATAGATAAAAGAGTTGAAGAATGGATTTCACCTAGAAGTGAAGTTGTACCCTACCTAGAGTACACCTAAGTACATCATACTGGTTGTCTACTCTGAGTACTAGGACTGGGGTTGGATAAAGCCAATTTTCACTGGAGAAACGTTGGAGGGGACGGAATAGGACGTCCCTATTTTCAGGAGAGAAATGTTGGAGGGGATGGAATAGGATGTCCCTATTTTCAGGGGAGAAACGTTGGAGGGGATGGAATAGGACGTCCCTATTTTCAGGGGAGAAACGTTGGAGGGGATGGAATAGGACGTCCCTATTTTCACAGGAGAAACGTTGGAGGAGATGGAATAGGACGTCCCTATTTTCAGGGGAGAAACGTTGGAGGGGATGGAATAGGACGTCCCTATTTTCAGGAGAGAAACGTTGGAGGGGATGGAGTAGGACGTCCCTATTTTCAGGGGAGAAACGTTGGAGGGGATGGAGTAGGACGTCCCTATTTTCAGGGGAGAAACGTTGGAGGGGATGGAATAGGACGTCCCTCTTTTCAGGGGAGAAACGTTGGAGGGGATGGAATAGGACGTCCCTATTTTCAGGGGAGAAACGTTGGAGGGGATGGAATAGGACGTCCCTATTTTCAGGGGAGAAATGTTGGAGGGGATGGAATAGGACGTCCCTCTTTTCAGGGGAGAAACGTTGGAGGGGATGGAATAGGACGTCCCTCTTTTCAGGGGAGAAACGTTGGAGGGGATGGAATAGGACGTCCCTATTTTCAGGGGAGAAACGTTGGAGGGGATGGAATAGGACGTCCCTATTTTCAGGGGAGAAATGTTGGAGGGGATTGAATAGGACGTCCCTCTTTTCAGGGGAGAAACGTTGGAGGGGATGGAATAGGACGTCCCTCTTTTCAGGGGAGAAACGTTGGAGGGGATGGAATAGGACGTCCCTATTTTCAGGGGAGAAATGTTGGAGGGGATTGAATAGGACATCCCTCTTTTCAGGGGAGAAACATTGGAGGGGATGGAATAGGACGTCCCTCTTTTCAGGGGAGAAACGTTGGAGGGGATGGAATAGGACGTCCCTATTTTCAGGGGAGAAACGTTGGAGGGGATGGAATAGGACGCCCCTATTTTCAGGGGAGAAACGTTGGAGGGGATGGAATAGGACGCCCCTCTTTTCAGGGGAGAAATGTTGGAGGGGATGGACTAGGACGTCCCTCTTTTCAGGGGAGAAACATTGGAGGGGATGGAATAGGACGTCCCTCTTTTCAGGGGAGAAACGTTGGAGGGGATGGAATAGGACGCCCCTATTTTCAGGGGAGAAACGTTGGAGGGGATGGAATAGGACGTCCCTCTTTTCAGGGGAGAAATGTTGGAGGGGATGGAATAGGACGCCCCTATTTTCAGGGGAGAAACGTTGGAGGGGATGGAATAGGACGCCCCTATTTTCAGGGGAGAAACGTTGGAGGGGATGGAATAGGACGTCCCTCTTTTCAGGGGAGAAACGTTGGAGGGGATGGAATAGGACGTCCCTATTTTCAGGGGAGAAACATTGGAGGGGATGGAATAGGACGCCCCTATTTTCAGGGGAGAAACGTTGGAGGGGATGGAATAGGACGTCCCTCTTTTCAGGGGAGAAACGTTGGAGGGGATGGAATAGGACGCCCCTATTTTCAGGGGAGAAACGTTGGAGGGGATGGAATAGGACGTCCCTCTTTTCAGGGGAGAAACGTTGGAGGGAACACCTCTGTATTGGAAGGTCTAGGTTACCGTTTGCAGCCGGCTCCTACCGGAGCGAATTTTGCAAGCTGCATTCACCGTTCTCTTAATATACAGTATAAATAAAGACGAGGAGTGAAAATTTACTGGTCCACCTTGAGGCTCGAGTTCCTCACCAGCTGCCTGGAGGAGAGCAGGCGAACCCAGAAACCTCAGGCCGGCCCTGGAGGTCTGGCATTCTGAATATGGGCAGGGAGGTGGGATTGGGGGTAAAGGAACAGGTTGTTGTTGTTTAGTCGTTTAGTGGTGTCCGCCTCTTTTTGACCCCCTGGACCAGAGCACGCCAGGCCCTCCTGTCTTCCTCTGCCTCCCGCAGTTTGGTCAAACTCATGCTGGTAGCTTCGAGAACATTGTCCCACCATCTCATCCTCTGTCGTCCCCTTCTCCTTGTGCCCTCCCTCTTTCCCAACATCAGGGTCTTTTCCAGGGAGTCTTCTCTTCTCATGAGGTGGCCAAAGTCTTGGAGTCTCAGCTTCAGGATCTGTCCTTCCAGTGAGCACTCAGGGCTGATTTCCTTCCGAATGGAGAGGTTGGATCTTCTTGCAGTCCACGGGACTCTCAAGAGTCTCCTCCAGCACCAGAATTCAAAAGCATCCATTCTTTGGAGATCAGCCTTCTTGATGGTCCAGCTCTCACTTCCATACATCACTACTGGGAAACCAGAGCTTGAACTATATGGACCTTTGTTGGCAAGGTGATGTCTCTGACAATTTCATGTCCTACCCGTTCCTTTTTTTTTTTTAATGAACGGGTAGGAAATGAAATTGGCTGGTTCCTCCCTCCTGCCTGGGAAGCAGCCTTGCATTCCTGAATTGCCAGAGGTTTCAAAGGTCAGAGAAGACCTTTTGCAAGGTCGAAGCATCCTAAAGGCAGCTGGACCCCCCCCCTACACAAAGAGGGCCATTGCCCATTAACCGCAGCAGAGTTGTCACGCGCCAAAAAAATAAAAAATAAAATAAGCCCTTTCAGCGAGGGGCTCGGCTCGATAGGTTTCCATGCCGCGGCTGAAATGTCATTTATATAACCGCGTTCGGTGCAAATGCAATTTGCTCCTTAAAGATCGGGTACAGCGGAGAACAGAAGTAACGTTCTGGCCTCGCTTCGCACGTTTTGGAGCGAGTATTAAGGCATATGTGTCAGTGCCCAGCTTTTTCAATTTTTTTTACAATAATGTTTATTAAGTTTCATACAAACAAAACACATATTATAAAATAAGTGAAATAAAAGAACAACAACGAAGAAAACAAAAATAAAAAAGAGTGTAACGACAAAAACGTAAGCAATACAAGTTAATTAATTAATTAAACTTCCAACTTCGTAAACATATTACTTGACTTCCTCCCGTCTGAATTTCCTTGTAACTGAATGTAGCAGTTTTCCAATATCATTATTCCAAAAACAATATTCCAACTATAGTCAAATTTCTTAACTTTTCTTAATGTTCCAAATCTCATTTATTTAATTAGCTCCTAATTTAAACCTAGGCCTATATGGTACTTTCAGGTAGCTTCTAATTTTTAATGTTACATTATTTATTCAAATAACACTCGCTTCCGGGGCTTCGGTGCTTGGGAACCAAGGTACTGCCATATATATATATGTATATATATCACACACACACACACACACACACACACACACGGGTGGTGCTGTGGGTTAAACCACAGAGCCTAGGGCTTGCCGATCAGAAGGTCGGCGGTTCGAATCCCCGCAATGACGGGGTGAGCTCCCGTTGCTCGGTCCCTGCTCCTGCCAACCTAGCAGTTCGAAAGCACCTCAAACTGCAAGTAGATAAATAGGTACCGCTCCGGTGGGAAGGTAAACGGCGTTTCCGTGCGCTGCTCTGGTTCGCCAGAAGCGGCTTAGTCCTGCTGGCCACATGACCCGGAAGCTGTGCGCCGGCTCCCTCGGCCAATAAAGTGAGATGAGCGCCGCAACCCAGAGTTGGCCACGACTGGACCTAATGGTCAGGGGTCCCTTTACCTTTACTATATATATATATATACTTCCTCGCTAGGTGCAGTCCAACAGGTGAAGCCCCACGGGCGCCAATGGGAATTAACCCACACAAAGCAGGAAGGGCTGCTTTTTGCAGGCTGCGCTCGCACAAGAGGCTCCCTTTCTCCTTACGGGGACGGATGGACCCTGCGCACCGCTTTCTAACCGCACCCCTTGCACTTTGGAGCTTGCCCCCTCTGCACCCGCTTTGCGGCCTCACGCCTTGCTCGTGCGACGCACACCTTGCTTTCCAGCGGGAGTCGGGGCCCCGGGAGCTGCGGCGGGGCGGCAGGGCTTCACTCTCCTGTTTGCCCCCCAGCTATGTACTCTGTGGAGATCACGGTGGAGAAGGACAAAACTGACGGGCGAGACCAAGGTCCTGTCCAGCACCACCAGTCTGCCCAAAGACCGCTCGGTTCAGGGGGTCAAGGTGTACGAGGACGAGATGAAAGGTACGCAGGGTCCGGAAAACGGCGAGAACAAGGCGCCTGGCGCCTGGGAGCCATAGCTGTCAACATTTCCCAGTGTCCAGGCTGGACGATGGGAGTGGAGATGCTCCTTCAGGTATACAGGGCCACTTAGGGCTTTCAAGGTCGGCACCAACCCTTTGAATTGTGCTTGGAAATGTCCTGGGAGCCAATGTAGGTCTTTCAGGACCGGTGTTATATGGTCTCCACTCCCAGTCCCCAGTCCAGTGGCCGCATTCTGGATTAGTTGCAGTTTCTGGGTCACCTTCAAAGGGAGCCCCACGGAGAGCGCATGACAGTAGTCCAAGCGGGAGATGACCAGAGCATGCGCCACTCTGGCCAGACAGTCCGTGGGCAGGGACTGAACATGAGTCGTTCTGCCCGCCGATGAAACACTCTTAACCACTGAGCATGGTTCCAGGTTGGGGCTCAAGGCTTTTTCTCTCTGTTTCTTTTATTGCAGTGGTGCACGCGGTCCGCGTCGAAGACGGGGCACTGGAGAACGGCTTGCAGCAGCTCAGCTCCTCCGAGGTGGACGAGCTCATCCACAAGGCCGACGAGGTGACCCTGAGCGAAGCTTCGGAGGCGGCCAAGGGGCCCCGCAGCAACCCGCCGAGCCAGAAGGCGACCCCGAGGAAGGAGATCACTGGGGTGCAGGCGAAACCAGTGGAAACACCCAAGTTGATGCCGGCCGGCCAAGGCCCTGAACCCAGCGAGGAAAAGCCGGTCACCATGATCTTCATGGGCTACCAGAACGTGGAGGACGAGGACGAGACCAAGAAGGTCCTGGGTCTCGAGGGCACCATCCGGGCGGAGCTGGTGGTGATTGAGGACGCCGAAAACAAGGCAGCGTCAGCGACAGGGAAGGATCACGCCCCTCCAAACGGCAGCGCGGTGGCCACGTCCGTCCCCCAGAAGGTGGAGAATCAAGCCGGGGAGCCGCCAGCGGCCAACAGCACCGACCCCAAAGACGCAGAGCAAGATCTCGACGCCAAGAAACAGCGCTGCAAATGTTGTTCGGTGATGTAAGGCGCCCTCCCTCGACTCTACAGCCAATCAGGACTGCCTTCTCTCCCCTCCCTCTCCCCCCATAATTCCCACCTCTTCCACAAACTCCTAGGTTTAATGTGGTTTTTTTTTTTTTAATTTTTAATTAACAAGACATGCAGTTCCCGCCGCTCCCAGGGGTTTTGTTTTTCTGTTCCCTTTAAGTGACTGGGGAAATATTCTAATGCAAGAGTTGGTGGCGGCTGCGGCGGCCGGTGTCTGACGCCCAGCAATGGCCCTGCTAAGTCCCGCTTCATCTCAATTCGCTTTTTCGTAAACGGAACAGATGCAAAGTATATTTATTAGACGGCGTTGTCCTCTGCCCCGCGCCCCAGCTCCAAAGCAGAATCAATCGGGAAACCTTAAACCGCTGTGGCCAAAGTTTCTTGGACTCGCGCTCAACCGAATATGAAAGAAAGGAAATCGGGTGCGTTTCGGTATTTCCGCCGCTTCAGAATGAACCGGCACGATTTCCGCAAACGGACTTTCCTTCCGGAGAAGGAAATTTAACATCGATTAAGGAGACTCTTCGTTCTTGCGCTTTGGGGACCTTTGCAAATCCGCCAGCCTTCGAAGATCGCTTCCTGGGATCTCCAAAAACGTCACTGGCCAGGTTTCTCGTGCCAACGAAAGAATCCGGCTTGGTAAAACCTAGTTTTGCACACACACACCCTGCCCTGCTGGCGTTTAAAAAGACGGTGTTTGGGGTGGGTGGGAGACCAGGGTGACGGGAATCGGCTGTGGTCCGAGGGCAAATGTCCGGACACTGGGCTTGGCGATCTGCTCTGTCGGGGAGACAATCCCGCGGCTTCGTGGGAAAGCATCGTATGAGTCCCGGAAGAAGTTTTTGGGGAGATTGCAATGGTCGGACCTTGACAGCTCTGAGACCGTCGGTGTTGACGTGGCTTCGTTTTCCCTCCTTAATTCTTCGACGGTTACCTCTCCGGCTTGTAAAAACTGTAAAACTGACCGGCGGTTCCGAACCGAAACCCGGTCGGGAGGAAAATACAGGAGAGGCTGGTTGGTTCGAGCAAAACGGGGGCACCGACCTACCACGTTTGGTGGGTCCTCAGCCAACCTTCTCACACTGCAACCAGACCCTCAGGTGGTGACCCTGACTGCCAATTTCGACTCATTCTCAGTGTTGCCCCTTGTTGAGAAACTAGGAGGTCGGGTGGCCACCTGCCACGAATGCTTTAGCTGAGATTCCTCTATTTTGTGGGTGGGGTTTGGGCGAGAGGACCCTCTGGGGTCATTTCCAACTCTATGATCCTGTGAGTTGGCTCCTCTGGCGCCACCTGCTGACATCCTCCCGCCTCGCAGACCCAAATTGCCCTGGCGACTACCGCTGGCAAAAAATACTTACTCGCTTAGGTGAGGGCCGGCAAGCGAAGCCGAGAGAGCCAGCTGGGAGGGCCCGATCCGTCCCAATGATCAGCATGGCTGCAGACGGCTCAGACAAGGGGGCGAGGCAGCCGAGCGGCTCTAGCTAGGCCGGGGAAGCCGGACAGGTGTGGACAGAGCAGGTGAGCTGACTGAGGAGCAGGGGCAGAAAGGATTTAGATTAGGGAGGTGGGCTTCTGGAGATTCCTGGCGCCTCTGACCATTGGGCGTGCCGGCCACCTCTGAGGCTGATGGGAAGCGGAGCCTACTGCAAACTTTTGCTGGTCCAAGGGGCTTGTCGTTCCACTGCCCACCCGCCCACCCTTGCCAAATTTGAAGTGCCAAAGCAGCCAGGGCTTAGGGCGTGTCGCTTGGGTTTCATGGGCCTACAGAACAGGGTTCCTGCCCTCCCCAGCCACAAAAACTGAGACCTGGGGTGCTTTTACGCAAGCAGCTACAGCTCAACCTCCTGGTCCCTACGGGGTGATCAACCACCCTCTTCGCAATCACGGAGCGGCCCGCCTAACAGGGGTGTCGCTGGGTGCTCTGAAAGGTCACACCGGGCAAATTTGTACCAGATTTACGTTGGTCAGTGTATACCTGTTTGGACCAGTGTTTCCCGTCGTCAGTCAATGGCTTACTCTGTCCATCAGCTGCCTCTTCCTGCTCTTCTGCCCGTCACAAGCCCTGGCACAACCTTCTGGAAGGCTCCCAGCCTCCCGCAGCCACCTGTCCCAATGCCCAGCGGTGGCCGCTGTGCCCAAGTCCGCTTCTGCCTCCCCAGCTATGCAGAAACGTATTAAGCGCTAGCAGCTGTTCCTGAATTTGCATCCGCAAAGTTCACCCCAACCCGCGTCTCCTTTCTGTGCCCCCTTTGTGATGCGTGGAAGGCCACCCTCTGTTGACCCACTTGGTCCAAGCTGGCATAAGGAAGTGCCTTGAGGGATCCCCAACCTGCTCATCTCATGTCCCCCAACGTTTCTCCCCTGAAAATAGGGACGTCCTATTCCATCCCCTCCAACGATTCTCCCCTGAAAATAGGGACGTCCTATTCCATCCCCGCCAATATTTCTCCCCTGAAAATAGGGACGTCCTATTCCATCCCCTCCAACGTTTCTCCCCTGAAAATAGAGACCTCCTATTCCATCCCCTCCAGCGTTTGTGCCCTGAAAAGAGGGACGTCCTATTCCATCCCCTCCAACGTTTCTCCCCTGAAAATAGGGACATCCGATGTTCTATGTTTTATTATGTTTTTTTATATGTTGGAAGCTGCCCGGAGTCAGAAGGGTGGGGTATAAATGATAAAATCATCATCATCAACATCATTTTTATTATGAAATAGGATGTCCCTATTTTCACTGGAGAAAGGCGGGAGGAGATTTAGACACAATGCCTCACATCTGTTATATCACTGTTTCCAACATGGCGGCTCCAAAATGGGAACAGGAAGTGGGGCGGTGTCTCTCCCTTCCGTTTCCCCATCTCTAGGGTTGGAAAACGATGTTGTCTTGACAGGGGTTGCCTCTCAAATTTCCACAGACCAAGCCAGTTTTTTGGGGGGTGGGGAGACTCGCGAGCAAAGGTGTTTCCCCAAAACCAGTGCCGATTGAAAATATTGAGGAGGAAAAGTTGAGCCGAGATAACTAATTGGGCCCTAAGATGCTTGCAGGATTGCGCTCAGAAGTTAGGACAATGCCAAGCTTATAAACCGGTGTGGGATTGTTGAATTTGTTGCGCGATCAAAGAATAAATCGGTGGGTGGTAGGAGATGCTGGGAAGTCGGGGAGTCGAGGAGTGCGCTTTGAAGAGTGTAGGGAGAGGGAATTGAGCAGATTCCGGGAATCTCTTGGGATCCCTTGTCAATGTTTAAGGGAAATCCCCTTATTCCGAATAGGATTCCTCGCAAGAAAATGGAAAAGTTGACAGCTGTTCCTTGGGTCGATGGCGTTTGGATCCCTGCCACCAGGCAGAGGCGAGCAGGCCCACAAATTTCGTTATGGGGAGCTGAAGAATGGGGGGCAGAAGGGGAGAGTTTGACACCCCCCAAAAAAACTTCCGAAACAACATCAGGGAGGTGGGTGCCAAGACCTTCCCAAACGTCTGATCCAGGGGGCTTCATTTTTCTGGGGTTTTTTGGCCTGGGACCCCAAACTCCGTTGTCCTGACCTAGAAGTTGACCCCCTCTTCGAATCTTTGCCCTCCCCAAGCCTGGGTTTTAGGGCTGGAGCAGGTGGAGGAGACTAGCTAGGAACTGCTTCACAAACAGGCGCCGACCATTTAACGGCGGCGCCACCATGTCCTTGCTGGACGTGGGGCACCGTCCCCGCTGTCCCCCACCCTTAGCCACCCTTATCGGGGAGGAGACCAGAGCAGCTGGAGGTCTCCGCCACGCCGCCGGTCAGCCGGCCTCTTCTCCTGTCCTCGGTGCTACCCTGGAACAGCCGAATGGCCGTGATTCGGAGAAATATACGTGGCGAGAACCTGGACTTATTTGAAGACCATGGGAGGGAACGGTCAGGCGGCCTGGATTTGAGTAAGGGCACCAACACGGGTGGTGCTGTGGGTTAAACCACAGAGCCTAGGGCTTGCCGATCAGAAGGTCAGCGGTTCGAATCCCCGCAATGACGGGTTGAGCTCCCGTTGCTCAGTCCCTGCTCCTGCCAACCTAGCAGTTCGAAAGCACGTCAAAGTGCAAGTAGATAAATAGGTACCGCTCCGGCGGGAAGGTAAACGGCATTTCCGTGCGCTGCTCTGGTTCACCAGAAGCGGCTTAGTCCTGCTGGCCACATGACCCGGAAGCTGTACGCCGGCTCCCTCGGCCAGTAAAATGAGATGAGCGCCGCAACCCCAGAGTCGGCCACGACTGGACCTAACGGTCAGGGGTCCCTTTACCTTACCATCAGGTTCTCCGGAGATGTCACGTCTGGTGCGTCCGCCCCCTTCGCTCGCTCCTCTGTCTCATCTAACGTGTAAGACGTGGGGGTCCCCACTCCACCCCCCAAGCCCTCCTTCGTGCCCTCGGTCCTCTGTCGCAGATCTGGCCCCCTCGGCTCGCCCTTCCCTCGTTTCTCCGCAGCTTTATCAATCACCTACCACCAGCTGTTTCGACGTCCCGCCTCTCCCTGCCACCAACCTCGCCGCTGTTTCCCCCTGCCGGTTGGTTTGTAATAATGCCTGAGCAGAGCAAAATAATAATAATAATAAAGGTGTGAATCATCTGGGGGGACGAAACCAGATCTGTGGATCTCTCTCTTTGCCCGTCTGAACAACTGGCAGTTCCCACACCTGTGTGTGTTTGACGCGCTGACGCAATACCCGCTTTAAACAGCCGTGGCTTCCCTGCCAAAGATCCTGGGAACTATAGTTTTCTTGGGAGGCTCCCTGTTCCCCTTGCAGAACTACACAAAGTCTCGTTATCGTTCGCTTGTCACAGCTGGGGGGAGAGGGCATCAAATTACTGTATTTTTTGCTCTATGACACTCACTTTTTCCCTCCTAAAAAGTAAGGGGAAACATGTGTGCGTCTTATGGAGCGAATGCAGGCTGCGCAGCTATCCCAGAAGCCAGAACAGCAAGAGGGATTGCTGCTTTCGCTGCGCAGCGATCCCTCTTGCTGTTCTGGCTTCTGAGATTCAGAATATTTTTTTCCTTGTTTTCCTCCTCCAAAAACTAGGTGCGTCTTGTGGTCTGGTGCGTCTTATAGAGCGAAAAATACGGTGTGCCAGGCATGTCCAACAGGTCAACAACTTTGGGTCTCTCCCCCCCAAAAAAGGTTCAACAACTGGGTAGATCACTGCCAGTTTATTAAACCACAAAGCCGGACCGATAGCTCAGTCGGTAGAGCATGAAGCTCTTGACCACCCCACCCATGGGTGCCCCGAAGTCACCCTGGTCAGCAATATTCCGGTCGCGGCATTTTGCCCGGTCAGCACCCCATGAGCCCCACCCCTTTTGTTTGAGGTTCCCAACAATTTCCTGGATTGCACACACACACACACACCAGTCAGCTTATGCTTAGCCACCAGGGTTTGGGTCTTTTGTTCCCAGCAAATCCCAGAAAACGCCAGAGCGGTGCGGCCGGCCTCCCAAAAATAAAGCCAAGCTGTTGGAGACCGCAGGATCCCTTTGGAAAAGGGTCGAGGGATTAAACCAGGCCAGCGATACCAGAGGTGAGTCTTGGAAGAATGTGCTAGGGGGGAATTAAATCCGCCCCACCTGCGAAAGGAGTCTGCCTGCTGCACCCCTGTGTCACCCAGCGGCCAGGTCTGTCCTGCTGCCCACTGTGGATGGCCCAACTCTGCTTTGCTTCCGATGCAGAGAGGCAAGGGAAAGGCCTGACCCTTTCCTTCTGAGAATGGACACATTCAGGTGAGCTGATAAACCCACGGTTGGGGAAGATGTTGTAACAACAACAACTTATTTATACCCTGCCCATCTGGCTGGGTTTCCCCAGCCACTCTGGGGAAAACACAACAAAACAACAAACATTAAAAGCTTCCCTGAACAGAGCTGCCTTCAGATGTCTTCTAAAAGTCAGAGAGTTGTTTATTTCCTTGACATCTGGCGGGAGGGCGCCACCACCGAGAAGGCCCTCTGCCCGGTTCCCTGTAACCCCACTAGGTCAGGCGGAGAGGCAGCGACTGGCCCAAAGTCACAGCCAGTGAGCTTCAGGGCCAAGGGGAGATTTGAACCCGGGTCTCTCAGTTCCCAGTAAGTCACTCTAACCCCTAAAGCATACTGGCTCTCTGATTTTCCCATCAGCTGCTTTGGGGGCGGCTGCCAGTACATATGAAAACAGAATGAAACTTCAAACGTTGAAAGCTTCCCTAAACAGGGCTGCCTTCAGATGTCTTCTAAAAGTCAGAGAGTTTCCTTGACATCTGATGGGAGGGCGCCACCACCGAGAAGGCCCTCCGCCTGGTTCCCTGCAACCTCACTTCTCGCAGGGAGGGAACCGCCAGAAGGCCCTCGGGAGAGGGACCCCGGTGTGTCCGATAGATAAAGGTAACAAAAATTTGTACGCGTTAAAATTTCGGAAAATTCTTGAAGAAGATGAAAAAGAAGACGACAATGACAGATGTAATCGAACAGGGTGGGGGGAAGCTGTCTGCAATTCCACACACACACACACACACACACACACACACACGACACATTGAAATGTCACAATATGACAAAGTCCTTGTCCCTTTCGCTCTCTTGAGAAGGACGCTCCACACCCTCAGATTTTAGCAGCGCTGAAAGCAGACACTCCTGTTTGCTTCTAACTCACATTCCAAGCCCGCCGCTGATCTCTTCCTCCTCGCAGACCGCCTCTTACCCCGGAGGGTTGGCTGAGCGTTGACGGACAAGGTAGCTTCTACCTGTTCAGGTGTACTCCCAGCCGCTCTCGGCTTCCTCTTCTTCCCCGGTTTGGCTCCCAATCCCGGTGGCTTCTCCTGTTTTCCGAAGCGCTGTCCAAGGCCCAGGTCAGCCTCACCGTTCCGGAGCAAGGATGCTTAGATAAACTCCCCCTGCAGCGGTTTCTTTGTACGACGCTAGACTTCCAAAGGTGCAGGTAAGAAGGGGGGGATATTTAATCCCAAAATCGTAATTCCAGCCCCCAAAACGGGCTTTCTCCTTTTAGCTTCGTCAGCCCGGCGAGGTAGACTTTTAAAAAACCATGGCCTCTGGCTAATTCAACAATATGTGGCCTTTAAAATTACTGGGTGGGTGGGTGTGTTTATAATAATAATAATAATAATTTGTTATTTATACCCCGCCCATCTGGCTGGGATTCTCCAGCTACTCTGGGCGGATTCCAAAAAAAATATTAAAATACTCTAATACATCAAACATTAAAAGCTTCCCTGAACAGGGCTGCCTTCAGATGTCTTCTAAAAGTCTGGTAGTTGTTGTTCTCTTTGACATCTGGTGGGAGGGCGTTCCACAGGGAGGGCGCCACCACCGAGAAGGCCCTCTGCCTGGTTCCCTGTAACATGGCTTCTCGCAGTGAGGGAACCGCCAGAAGGCCCTCGGGAGATGGACCCCGGTGTCCAGGGTGGACTATGGTGGTGGAGACGCTCCTTCAGGGATACAGGGCCATTTAGGGCTTTCAAGGTCAGCACCAACACTTTGAATTGTGCTTGGAAACGTACTGGGAGCCAATGTAGGTCTTTTAAGACCAGTGTTATGTGGTCTCGGCGGCCGCTCCCAGTCCCCAGTCTAGCTGCCGCGTTCTGGATTAGTTGTAGTTTCCGGGTCACCTTCAAAGGTAGCCCCACATAGAGAGCATGGCAGTAGTCCAAGCGGGAGATAACCAGAGCATGCACCACTCTGGAGAGACAGTCTGCGGGCAGGTGGGGTCTCATCCTGCGTCCCAGATGGAGCTGCCCTGGACGCAGAACTGACCTGCGCCTCCTTGGACAGCTGTGAGTCCAAAATGACCCCCAGGCTGCACACCTGGTCCTTTGGGGGCACAGTTACCCCATTCAGGACCAGCGAGTCCCCCACACCTGCCCGCCTCCTGTCCCCCAAGAACAGTACTTCTGTCTTGTCAGGATTCAACATCAATCTGTTTTTGTTTATTACGTGTGTGTGTGTGTGTGTGTGTGTGTGTAGCTAGCTAGGGGTGATGGGAGTTGTAGTTCAACAACATCTGGGGACCCACAGGTTGAGAAAGGCCGATTCTGGACGCTAGACTCGTATGTGTTGGCAGATAAAGTAAAAAATGTGTTTGGATGCAATTTGCGAGATTTCGACTGCCCAAGGGCCTCCGCAGGCGTTTAATCCAACAGAAGCACGGCTGGTTTGCTGCCGAACCAGCAAAGACAAGGAGATTGCAGAGCCGATTCTGCCCCCTCTCCCCAGCCTCCTTGAAGAATTTGTTTCCTCCACCTGAACCAACCTGTCTGACCAGCGACAAGCAGGTAACGAATACCGCCAGCGCTGGGAGGGAGCATCCTACCTTCCAAAAACTCTGCCCAGTATCCCTGAAGGAGCATCTCCACCCCGGACACCTGGGTCCCTCTCCCGAGGGCCTTCTGGCGGTTCCCTCCCTGCGAGAAGTGAGGCTGCAGGGAACCAGGCAGAGGGCCTTCTCGGTGGTGGCACCCTCCCATCAGATGTCAAGGAAATAAACAAACTATCTGACTTTTAGAAGACATCTGCAGGCAGCCCTGTTTTGGGAAGTTTTTAATGACTGATTTTTTGAATGTATTTTTAATCTTTTGTTGGAAGTCACCCAGAATGGCTGGGGAGACCCAGCCAGATGGGCGGTGTATAAATAATTAAATTAGAAATGTTGGAGGGGATGGAATAGGACGTCCCTATTTTCACGGGAGAAACGTTGGAGGGGATGGAATAGGACGTCCCTCTTTTCAGGGGAGAAACGTTGGAGGGGATGGAATAGGACGTCCCTATTTTCATGGGAGAAACATTGGAGGGGATGGAATAGGACGTCCCTATTTTCAGGGGAGAAACGTTGGAGGGGATGGAATAGGACGTCCCTATTTTCAGGGGAGAAACGTTGGAGGGGATGGAATAGGACGTCCCTATTTTCAGGGGAGAAACGTTGGAGGGGATGGAAGAGGACGTCCCTATTTTCAGGGGAGAAACGTTGGAGGGGATGGAATAGGACGTCCCTATTTTCAGGGGAGAAACGTTGGAGGGGATGGAATAGGACGTCCCTCTTTTCAGGGGAGAAACGTTGGAGGGGACGGAATAGGACGTCCCTATTTTCAGGGGAGAAACGTTGGAGGGGATGGAATAGGACGTCCCTATTTTCAGGGGAGAAACGTTGGAGGGGATGGCATTACCCCAATCAAGGACATCATCTTTCTCCATCATCCCATGGGCAAGATCAGGGAACGCTCCATGCCAGCTTCTCCAACACCCAGTTGCCATTGGAAAAGAAGAAGGGCAGGGGAACCAACTGGCAATAAACTGTCCTTGGGAAGGCTGGAGTTCGGCGCCCGTCCCGTGAGAATCCCCATTTTTAATAGCCCATAATTGCCGGGATGCAAAGCAAAAAAACTCCAGTTTCTATTGCCCTGTGGGAATGTGGCCACGTCGAGGGTGTGGCTCTGGCGTCAGAAGCCGTGGACTTTGTTATTTGGACCTGCTTTTAAGAGCGGTTTTTCGGGTCCCAACAGTCCCAGCTGAGTTGCCTCCGTCCCTGAGAGACATTCCTGTAGCCAGAGACCTTCCTGGATCGAGAACGAGGAGTCGGAACCGCACAGAAGTGGTAAGAAGACCCATATTCTCCTCCTGGACCTATGATTCCCAGAGATCTTTAGGAAGAGGGATTAGATCGTTATTATTTAATGGAAATTGTGGCTATCGTGGCATACCTTCCGATGAAAATGGGGACATTGTATTCAATAATAATAATAATTTTATTTTTTATACCTGGCCCCTCTGACTGGCGTGCCCCGGCCACTCTGGGCGGCTTCCAACATATATAAAAACAGAATAAAACATGAAACTTAAAAAAAAACTTCCTTCAGAGCTGCCTTCAGCTGTCTTCTAAAGGTTGTGTATAGTTACTTATCTCCTTCGCTGCATGGGCCGCATAACTCCATCCCCTCCAACATTTCTCCCTATTAAAATAAGGACGTCCTATTTCGTATCTTCCAATGTTTCTCCCCTGAAAATAGGGACGTCCTATTCCATCCCCTCCAACGTTTCTCCCCTGAAAATAGGGACGTCCTATTCCATCCCCTCCAATGTTTTTAAAATTAAACTGGTTGTATTATTATATTGTATCATATCGCATGGGATGAGTGTGATATATAAACACATGCTCACATGCAACGCAGGTAATCCTAAGAACTTAGAATCTGGCTCAGTATGTAGCAGCTTCCTATGTTCCTGCGTATTCTCCTAAAATCTTGTGGCCGTGAGTTTCGCAGGCTAGTGGTGCAAAAAACCCCTTTTTCTTTCGTCTGGTGGCGCTGTGGTCTAAACCACTGAGCCTCTTGGGCTTGGCAATTGGGAGGTCGGCGGTTCAAATCCCGGCTCCCGTTGCTCGGTCCCAGCTCCTGCCAACCTAGCAGTTTGAAAGCACACCTGCGCAAGTAGATAAAGAGGTACCACTGCGGCGGGAAGGCAAACGGCGTTTCTGTGCACTCTGGTTTCCGCCATGCGCCAGAAGCGGTTAAGACCTGCCGGTCACACGACCCGGAAAGCTGTCTGCGGGCAAACGCCGGCTCCCTCGGCCTGAAAGCGAGATGAGCGCCGCAACCCCAGAGTCGCCTTTGCCTGGACTTAACCTTTCAAGGGGCCCTTTTCCTTTCACCCTTTACCTAAAACATTGTGACCGTGAGTTCCGCAGGCTAGCGCGGTGCAAAGAAAGCCCCTTTCTTTCGTCTGGTCCTGAATCTCCTCTGGATCGGTTCCGTTGGAGGTGACCTCCCCATATCTCCTGTCTCTGCCCCCAAACTTTAAAAGAAAAACACCAACTTTGCTTGCATGGTGCGCTAAGCCAGAGACCCTTGACTTCCAGGCCATTGATCCCAGATCTGTGGCTTTCTCTGAAGCTGGCAGGGGCAGAACCACCCGGAAAGGGCATTGAGCCACGAAACCGTTTTGAAAATTGACGTTTATTTTGCCCTCCGCTCGTTCCTAGAATTCCTCTGGGGAGGAGGGGAGTTTTGAGGTTCTTATCAGGCTGGCGCAGCCTGCGCACTCCCAGTGTGCCTGCGCCTCGTTCGAAACCAGGCATTTGGGTGCCCCCTAACAGGCCTCTCTGTGGGGTGAGACGAGGGGAGAGACAGAGAGGGAGAGAAAAGGCCCCATGTGGTTTCTGCCTGCTGCGGAAAACGCTCTTTGCTCCGGGTTCAGGAACAGAAGAACGTACTTTGCTTAGCCTGCGACAGGAGGAATAAATTTCGGTTTCGGCAGGTTGGTTTCGGCGGTGGGCACTCGGATGGCGCAGGGTCCGTCCATCCGTGAGACGGAGAGCTTTGGGTGGGATTTGAAGGGAAGGCCGAGCTGCCTCTGGGAGGGTCAAGAAGGCAGCTGGCCTGACGACAGCTCAGTTAAAAAATGCATTAATTAAAAAAGGGGTCTTGCAAGAAGGTTGTGTCCAGCCCTCCTGGAGAGAGCGTCAGGTGTGGGGCTCAGAGAGGCCAAGGCCCACTTGTGAACACTTCAACGGGCATGTTAGAGGATGGAGAGGAAAGCACCCAAGGTTGCAGGTTTGATCCCCGTATGAGGGAGAGTGGACCAGCCACAGCTGAAAAAGCTCGCTGACCCCTGCTTTAGGTAAAGGTAAAGGGACCCCTGACCGTTAGGTCCAGTCGTGGCCGCCTCTGGAGTTGCGGCGCTCATCTCGCTTTATTGGCCGAGGGAGCCAGCGTACAGCTTCCGGGTCATGTGGCCAGCAGGACTAAGCCGCTTCTGGCGAACCAGAGCAGCACACGGAAATGCCATTTACCTTCCCACCAGAGTGGTACCTATTTATCTACTTGCACTTTGACGTGCTTTCGAACTGCTAGGTTGGCAGGAGCAGGGACCGAGCAACGGGAGCTCACCCCGTCACTGCGGGGATTCGAACCGCCAACCTTCTGATCAGCAAGTCCTAGGCTCTGTGGTTTAACCCACAGCGCCACCTGCGTCCCCGACCCCTGCTTTAAAGGTTTCCAATTCACCATTTCAGTCCCTCCCGCCAATCAGAGAGGTGCCATGCCAACTCAGGAATTCCTGACCTCGCCCCGAACCTGTCCGTCTCTTTCCACAAATTCTTTTAAGGTGTGCTCATTCCACCGGCCGTTTGCTCTCCCGTCGCCCCTCCCAGACCTTTGCCCACCCTGCGGACCTTATCTCAAGCTGAGAAGTCAAAAGTCCTTCCCGGGGCGGCAGCAGCAGCAGCAGGGCGGTGTGAGGCTGTGGAATGCCAGCCTCGCAGGTGACGCCGCTGTCAAAATCCGACCTGATGACCTGACGGCGGTCCCGGATTTGGAGACCTCTGTGGGGGCCAGGAGGATTTGGAGCACGTTGTTGGAAGATAGGTGCATGCGCTCAAGAGATCACAGAATGGTAGAGTTGCGAGGGACCCCCAGAGGTCATCCATCCCAGCCCTCTTGCAGTGCAGGAACGGCCACCTGACCTCTGCTGAAAAACCTTCAAGGAAGGAGAGCCCGCTACCTTCCCTCCGTCGCACGGTCAAGCGGCTCTCAGCGCCCGAAGGTTTTTCCTAATGTTGAGCCAGAACTTGGAACTTGAAGCCACAAATAATAATAATAATAATAATAATAATAATAATAATAATAATAAAAAATATTATTTATACCCCGCCCATCTGGCTGGGCTTCCCCAGCCACCCTGGGCGGCTTCCGACAAAATATTAAAATACATTTTAGGGTTGGAATGCAGCCTGGAATAGCATTCGCCCTTTGGGCCGCTGGTGGTGCTGTGGGTTAAACCACAGAGCCTAGGGCTTGCCGATCAGAAGGTCGGCGGTTCGAATCCCCGCAATGACGGGGTGAGCTCCCGTTGCTCGGTCCCTGCTCCTGCCCACCTAGCAGTTCGAAAGCACGTCAAAGTGCAAGTAGGTAAATAGGTACCGCTCCGGCAGGAAGGTAAACGGCGTCTCCGTGCGCTGCTCTGGTTCGCCAGAAGCGGCTTAGTCCTGCTGGCCATATGACCCGGAAGCTGTACGCTGGCTCCCTCGGCCAATAAAGCGAGATGAGCGCCGCAACCCCAGAGTCAGCCACGACTGGACCTAATGGTCACGGGTCCCTTTACTTTTACCTTTATCAACTCGCTTGGCTTTTCCAAAGAGGGCGAGGAAGCGAGCTGGTGTTCTCCACCACCAGACAGAGAAACCCTGGAAGTGCAAACTAATTCAGACACACAGAGAGACACAGACACACACACAGTGAGAGGAGAAGGAAACAAGGGCTGCATTGTTCTCCCCGGTGGGAGGAAAACAGTGGCTCGCAGTAGGTAACTCTACCGCGTCGTTTAATTCTCAGATCTCCCTTCCTGGGCATCTTTCAGGGCCCTGCTGGGGCCACGTGGATGAAAGGAGCGAAGATGTCGTCCCTGGCGGGTGGCTCTGCCATCGAAATACCACCCTCCCCGATTGCCAAGTGACGCTTTAAGCTCCTGAATCTGCTCCTCTTCCAGCCCCTGAATGTTTTGCATTGTCCGCGAGCTGGGCTCGGGTTTCCTCGGCCCCTGGGGTCAATGTCTGCTGCCGTTTACAGCTTGCGAAACTCCCATTTATGACCTGCGGCTTTCTGTTAATTCTCTCTTCTGCAAAACCAGATAGGCAGGGGGCGAGTTTATGGTTATGCGAACAAAACTATGAGCGACCCAACCACCTTTATCTTGACTCCCTGGCATTGTTGTTGTTTAGTCGTTTAGTGGTGTCCGCCTCTTGTGACCCCCTGGACCAGAGCACGCCAGGCCCTCCTGTCTTCCACTGCCTCCCACACTTTGGTCAAACTCATGCTGGTGTCTTCGAGAACACTGTCCCGCCATCTCGTCCTCTGTCGTCCCTTTCTCCTTGCGCCCTCCATCTTTCCCAGCATCAGGGTCTTTTCCAGGGAGTCTTCTCTTCTCCTGAGGTGGCCAAAGTCTTGGAGCCTCAGCTTCAGGATCTGTCCTTCCAGTGAGCACTCAGGGCTGATTTCCTTCAGAATGGAGAGGTTGGATCTTCTTGCAGTCCATGGGACTCTCAAGAGTCTCCTCCAGCACCAGAATTCAAAAGCATCCATTCTTCGGCGTCCTGAGTGATAAATTCTCCTTTCTCCCAGCAGAGGGCAATCGGTGCTTTGCTATTCTAATGGGATGGCCTCTAATATAAGGAAGGTCTGCCTTAGAATAATAGAATACTGCAGAGTTCGAAGGGACCAGGGGTGTAGACAGGGGTTTTTTCTGGCGGGGAGGGGCTCCAAAAAGTTGTTGTGACTCCCCCCAAAGAAAACTTGGGAAGCATCGTTCGTTAAGGGTTCCTAGAATTAGGAGATCCCGGTTCCCCGTGCAGAACTACAAGAGTTGCCTGCAAAGAGGGAATTGATTGCTAAACCACTCTGGAAATCATATCTCTGTCTGAAACCCTGGAAATAATAATAATATTTTATAATTTATACCCTGCCCATCCGGTTGGGTCTCCCCAGCCACTGTGGGCAGCTCCCAACAGAATATTAAAAACACGATTAAAAACAGGGCTGCCTTCAGATGTCTTCTAAAAGTCAGATAGTTGCTTATTTCCTTGACATCTGATGGGAGGGCGCCACCACCGAGAAGGCCCTCTGCCTGGTTCCCTGTAATCTCACTTCTCGCAGGGAGGGAACCACCAGAAGGCCCTCGGGAGAGGGACCCCGGTGTCCGGGTGGAGATGCTCCTTCAGGTCTACTGGGCCATTTAGGGCTTTCAAGGTCAGCACCAACACTTTGAGTTGTGCTCGGAAACGTCCTGGGAGCCAATGCAGGTCTTTCAGGACCGGTGTTATGTGGTCTTGACAGCTGCTCCCAGTCCCCAGTCTGGCTGCCGCATTCTGGATTAGTTGCAGTTTCCGGGTCACCTTCCAAGGTAGCAGCCAGCCAGTGGACAACACTGGGCTATATCAGCAGCCAGTCTAACCCAGCAGAAGGCAGCTTACTCTGTACTGAATGTATGAATAAAGGTAAAGATAAAGGGACCCCTGACCATTAGGTCCAGTCGCGGCCGACTCTGGGGTTGCGGCGCTCATCTCGCTTTACTGGCCGAGGGAGCCGGCATACAGCTTCCGGGTCATGTGGCCAGCAGGACTAAGCCACTCCTGGCGAACCAGAGCAGCGCACGGAAACGCCGTTTCCCTTCCCGCCGGAGCGGTACCTATTGATCTACTTGCACTTTGACGTGCTTTCGAACTGCTAGGTTGGCAGGAGCAGGGACTGAGCGACGGGAGCTCACCCCGTCATTGCGGGGATTCGAACCGCCGACCTTCTGATCGGCAAGTCCTAAGCTCTGTGGTTTAACCCACAGCGCCACCCGCATCATATAATTTCTCCCCCTCTTGCTTCCCAGGGACTGCAAAGCCCTGTTCCTGATGTGAAGGCTGCGCAACACCACTGGAACACCCAACCCAACATCTGGAGAACATCTTCTCACCTCCTAAGGGGAAGTCTTTGAGGTACCTGCTTTCGAAAACGGAAATGTATATCCATAGGCTTGTCTTCACCTCGTCTCCGAGCACAGACCCTGAAGACGAAAAACCGAGCAGCCCCCAGTCCAGTTCGCGAGTGGAGCTGAAGTTTGAAGAGGCAACAGGCGACGAGTATTTTGACTTGGGCCACCACCGCGAGGAGAGGGCTGGGAATGGGTGGGGAACAGCCGAGCCCCCCGAAAACGGGTCAAAGTCCATCAATGGGAGGAAGGACCTTTGGACTTCACCGCCGGACAGAGAGTCCAAGCTGGAGGTGGTCAAATCCGGCTCGCTCTACGACATCCGGGCCTACAAAGGCGAGACGAAGCCTTCGAGGCTTTACAACGGGGACGAAGAGGAGCTAAGGTACAGGATCCGTCCCGAGGAGGCCTCGCCGGAGAAAGCCGAGGAGCTGGAGGAGGAACGGCGGGAGATCATCCGCAGCCAAGTGGTTAGGAAGAGCACCACCATGGCCGAGAAGTGGAGCTCCACGGAGGAGCTGGAGGCCATCAATGCTGGCCGAGAAACCGCCCCGAGAACGAGGAGTTATTCCACTGGCTTCGCGGTCTGTTTTGACAGCCCGTCTTCCCTCTGGGAGAGCAGCCCCGTCAACCCTCAAAACATAGACACGGAGAAGATCAATTTTGCCATGGCTCGGCAACAGTTCTTGGAATTGGAGAAGGTCAACCCCAAGATGCTTCTGGGGCCGAGGAAACCGGCGCCGAGCTCACGGACAACGCAAAACGTTCAGGGGATGGAAGGGCAGAAGATTCCTGATGTCTACAGCCAGAGAAGAATTGGTTGGTCTACTGAGCGGGCAGATAGTCACGTTCTCCAAAGAACAGAGCCCACGTCTCCCAAGCAAGCCCCTATTTGTCAAAACTCGACTGGAGGCGGCTGGGATTACGGTCTGGCAGAAATGCCCCAAAACTCAAGCGTCGTGGCGTCCGATGGAAGAAGGGTCTACATCAAAGAGGCGGCAGGAGAACCTCTGGATTGGGAGACCGGTGGCCAAGGCCTTGCCGAAGGAGATCTGGGGTCCTCGGACGAGACACCCATCGAGCGGGAGATCCGTCTGTCGATGGAAAGGGAGGACGCCCACCGGAAAGAGAGAGGGATCCACCGGGTCAACAGCCGGGACGAGCTGGTGGAAATCCAAACCAAGCCTCTGTTGCTGTCGGACGACACGCCGCCGGTTTCCTCCCGGAAAGGAAAAGAGAAACACACCGTTTCCTTCTTCGTGCAGAGGGAGATTGAGCAGGAAACCAGGCGCGAGGAGGACCTGCAGAAGGAAGGGAGGCTGCTGTCCGGGACGTACGACAAGGGGGTCCGACAGGAGTTATCGGAACGCCGGAAAGTGTTCGAAAGGGACGAGGCGGCCCCCATGACGGCAAGGATGCCGGGGGAGTCAGAGGAGGCCCAGAACGGCGACCCCGGGAGAAGGATGGCCGGCCAGGACGTGAAGTCGACCTCAGAGGCCTACCAGCCTTCTTTGGCCAGCGGAAGAAAGCAAAGGGGTGACTTGCACCCTTTCGACCGGAACGACACAGGCCAGCGGGTGGATCCCTCTGGGTCTCGGGTACCGGAAGACTCGGGAGAGGAGCCTGCGGTTTTGCGGGAAGGACATTTCGCCATCCCGGTGAGGAAGCTCAAGTTCTCGTCTGCCGGTGACCGGGAACCCCCGACCTCCCGGGGGAAAGAGGGCAGGCTGGAGGGGTCCGCTCCCCGGGAGGAGCTGTACACCGTGAAGACGCGGAGACCCCGGATGTCGGCCCTGATTGACCAGGAGATCCAGGACGCTTTGCAGAGGGAAGTGGAGCTTCAGGAGCAGCGCAGGAGAACTGGGACGGCGGGGGCACCCTCTCGGACGTCGTCGCAGAGCTCAGGTGAGAGGGGCAGGGCATGGGGTCGATGCCAGTTGGTTCACGTGCCATGGCAAATCGCATCAACACAGCTGTCATTTCATTCACACAATGCCTTTCCGTAGCTAGAACTCCGCTCCAGGCATCTGGCAGTCACAAGTTACTTATCCAGTTACTTATCTCCTTGACTTGGGGGTTCCATAATTCCATCCCCTCCAACATTTCTCCCCTGAAAATAGGGACTTCCTATTCCATCGCCTCCAACGTTTCTCTTGTGAAAATAGGGACTTCCTATTCCATCCCCTCCAACGTTTCTCCCCTGAAAATAGGGACGTCCTGTTCCATTCCCTCCGATGTTTCTCTCATGAAAAGAGGGACGTCCTATTCCACCCCCTCCAACGTTTCTCTCATGAAAATAGGGACGTCCCATTCCATCCCCTCCAATGCTTCTCCCCTGAAAATAAGGACGTCCTATTCCATCCCCTCCAATGCTTCTCCCCTGAAAATAAGGACGTCCTATTCCATCCCCTCCAATGCTTCTCCCCTGAAAATAAGGACGTCCTATCCCATCCCCTCCAACATTTCTCCCCTGAAAATAGGGACGTCCTATTCCATCCCCTCCAACGTTTCTCCCCTGAAAATAGGGACGTCCTATTCCATCCCCTCCAACATTTCTCAGATGAAAATAGGGACGTCTTATTCAGTAATAATAATAACCCATGATTGAGTTGCCAACTAAATAATAATAATAATAATAATAATAATAATAATAATAATAATAATTATTTATTATACCCCTCCCATCTGGCTGGGTCTCCCCAGCCACTCTGGGTGGCTCCCAACAGAATATTAAAAACACAACAAAACACCAAACATTACAAACTTCCCTATACAGGGCTGCTTTCAGATGTCTTCTAAAAGTTGCATAGCTACTCATCTCCTTGACATCTGATGGGCGGGCATTCCACAGGGTGGGCGCCACCACCGAGAAGGCCCTGCAATATCCCTGTGCTTGGTTTCTTTCTTTTTTAATTTAACTCTCTCTTCTAATTCCCTCCACCAGCTGCTTCAGGAATTGCCGACAGCTACTGCGTATCGGCCGCGGCTGCTCCCGATTCCCCCGCAAGCTCGTCCCCCTCGCCGTCGGTGCGGCAAGCCTACGCGGGGAAACCATCCTCGGAACCGGACTGGAGAGCGCAGCGTCCATCGGCGGAAGAGGAGAAGACGAAGAGGCACAGGGAGGGAGGAACGGTAGGGACTTGCCAGCCTCCGCTGCAATGGGGTGTTGGGGGCGGAGGTCGCTGCCTTAGATAGGAGAATCATAGAGTTGGAAGGGACCCTGTATTTTAATATTTTGTCACTGTATTTTGATATTTTGTTGGAAGCCGCCCAGAGTGGCTGGGGAAACCCAGCCAGATGGGCGGGGTACACAGCTGTCAACCGTCCCTTATTTGGCGGGAAAATCCCTTATCCCAGCACCATGTCCTGCTGCTGTCCCTTAATGATGATGTCCCTTCAATTTCCCGGGTTTCAAAGGAAGCAGCTCCTCTTCCTCCCTCCCTGCTGGCCAGGGAGGAGGGAGGCTCCAGCTGTGTTGCTTGGCTGCGTTGCTCACCCAATAAGGAGTCTAAGAACGACTGGGGGGGTGGAGCTTGCATGCCTTGTGCCGATCAAATTGGCCGCATTGCCTAGGGACTCGCCTTTGCTCAGCGCTTCCCAGCGGAGAGGTGATGGTGGTTTTCCTTGCTGCATCCCCTTTGCCGGGTTGCTGCGCTGTGGGAACCACCGCTTGAGGCTTCGTTTGGCTGCTGGCTGGGCTTTCTGCCTTTGGCTCGGAGGGGCTCAGAGGTCGAACATACCTGTGCTTGGAAAATCCCTTATTTTGGCTGCTGGTCCCTTATTTTCAAATCTATAAGTTGACAGCTATGGTGGGGTATAAATATATCATCATCATCATTATGTCCAACCCCTCTGCAACGCAGGAATGAATACACAGCTGTCCCTTACGGGGTTTGAACCTGCAACCTCGCTGTTATCAGACCATGCTCTAACCAACATAGGGGAAAACATCTCCTTTGCATGCAGAAATTCCCCGGTTTTGATCGCTGGCGTCTCCAGGGGGAAGAAACCCCAGATTAATAATAATAATAATAATAATAATAATAATAATAATAATAATAATAATAATAATTTATATCCCACCCTCCCCAGCCGAAGCCGGGATCAGAGCAGGCATAGGCAAACTCAGCCGTCCAGATGTTTTGGGACTACAATTCCCATCATCCCTGACCACTGGTCCTGCTAGCTGATGGGAGTCGTAGTCCCAAAACATATGGAGGGCTGAGTTTGGGGAATGCCTGCCCTAGCGTGCCACTACTGGCCATCAATGCAGGCGGCGCTGAACTAGATGGAGGCCTGGCCCAGGCAGCTTCTGATTAAAAGCCGGCATTTATTTAGAATCAAGAGGGCTAGAATCTTGGATTATCCTTCGGGGAAATAAAAAGCAGAGCAGCTGCGCAGGTGGCCGCCTGGTTCGATCCGCCCGGTGTCTCCAGTCAGAGCTGGGAAAGTCTGAATTGGGGCGGACACCGAACTGAGAGCTGTGACTCAGCACGAGACACTTTTCCTGTGTTCCTAATTTGCAAAACACTGGAGGGCGTACAGTCAGCCGTTCCTACTGTAGCAGGAAACCCACCCCCAATCATTCAGTTTGTACAAACTTCACACATACTCACACACTACATAGGCTACGCTTCTGTTATAAATTCATAGAAAATCAACCATACATCGGATTTGCACTGTTCCATTTTTATTTTACTCCATGAAGGAAGGACTACAAAATGGGGAAGGTTTGATACAGGGCAGCCATAATCCCTTGAGCATACCAGCACATCCACAGGAGCCCTGCCCAGTTGCTGTGCCAACCCTGATGGTCCCAGACAGAAGACCATCAAGATCACAAAGAACTTGCATATGGGAGTGGATTCAGCACGGACTGAAACAAAGGACAATAATCAGCTCTTCCCTCTGGGGGCAGGAAACTGCAAAGTCCCCTCTGTCACCTGGAAAGTACTCATGGGGAGGGGGAAAGGGGGAACCAGCCAGGTGACAGGACACTCAGGTTACCACCACAACTCCTCCCTCAAGCCCTCCTTTCTGTGATGTATGTTTCTGGGGGTGGTCTTGATCTACAGGGTGGCAATTTCAAAAGTCTTTATAAGGTCTTGCACACCATTTTTCCGAGTCCTTCCTCTCTCCTGCAAGTGAGGGGAGCTCCCTGTTGCAACAGTTCAATAAAGGCCAAGCCTACAGGCTGCTGTTTTGCTCCAAGTAATCCTGGTTCGTGTCTTTGTTTTTGTCCAAGGGAGCCCTCGGATTTTTCTGGTAACACTACAGAATATCCCCTCCCTGCCAGATTTCCTGTTCTCTAATTTTCCTCCTCTTTCCCTCCCCCAGTATGCTGGCATCGATCTGCACGACGAAATCGACTCCGAGGTAAGACTGCGCCCTTGCCCTGCGGGGAGAAAGCCTTACACTGCCTTACTCAGAAGTAAGCCCCTCTGTAGTCAATGGTCCAGACTGTGCAGCCTTGCAATCCAATCCTAGGCGTTATTTTTACTCAGAAGGAAGCCCCGCTGAGTTCAATAGGATTTATGCTCTGGTACGTCCCCGGTCATTATCACAGTTCCTGTTACAGTGGCGCCTCGGTTGTCGAACGTAATCCATTCCAGAAGTCCGTTCGACTTCTGAAATGTCCGATAACCAAGGCGCAAAGGGTGGTCTCCAAAGTCAATGGAGAAAATTGAAAAACGCCCAGCGGAAACCGTTCTGCTTCCGAGGCGCGTTCAAAAACGGAAGCAATTACTTTCGGGTTTTTGGCATCCGGAAACCGAAATGTTCAGCTTCCGAGACGCTCAAAAACCAAGGTAAAAAGGTAAAGGGACCCCTGACCATTAGGTCCAGTCGCGGCCGACTCTGGGGTTGTGGCGCTCATCTCGCTTTACTGACTGAGGGAGCCGGCGTACAGCTTCTGGGTCATGTTGCCATCATGACTAAGCTGCTTCTGGCGAACCAGAGCAGCACACGAAAACACCGTTTACCTTCCTGCCAGAGCGGTACCTATTTATCTACTTGCACTTTGATGTGCTTTCAAACTGCTAGGTTGGCAGGAGCAGGGACCAAGCAATGGGAGCTCACCCCGTCATTGCGGGGATTTGAACCGCCGACCTTCTGATCGGCAAGCCCAAGGCTTTGTGGTTTAACCCACAGCGCCACCCGCATCCCGTCATATTATTATTATTATTATTATTATTATTATATCCCGCCTTTTCCCCTGGCAAGGACTCAAGGTAGCCTACACCTAAATTTTATTTCACCACGGTCACACGGCCCCTGAGAGCTCATCTATCAGGCAAGACGGCCCCTGCTGGCTGCAAAAGAACCCTTCTTCTCTTATCTGAGCCGCCGATTCCTTTTGCAGGTTGTGAAATCCACCAAAGTCGTCTGCCAGAGGGGACTCCTAGCTCAGCTTTGGGAGACGGGCCAGATCCGCGGGGCCGTCGACGACAGCGACTGAACCTTGGAGAGGAACTAGATTTCCCAAAGCCGGCATCGGCACCCGCTGCGGGGCTTTTCTTTGGTTTTTATTTCTCTGGTCCCCCAAGTGTTTTCCCGTTCGATCTCTTGCCGGGTTTGGCTGTCGGTTGGATCCTGCCGACCCATCTATGTCCGATTAAAATTTTGCGTCGTTTTGATTGCGAGAGAGACGGCCCAGAATTGATCCTGGCACTTCCAAGGGCTCTGGGTTGCCAATGGTGAGGTCTAGCACCTTAACTTTCCTTTTAGGGGGAGGTCAGTGGCAGCGCCGAAGACCCCCAAATTCAGCCCCTGGCGCTGCCAGCCAGTCCTCAGGCAGATGGTCTCAGTGATGGGCAGCTTCCCACTTCCTCCTTTAAATCAGTTCATGAGGACTGGAATCTTCCTTTCCCCTTTTTAAAGGAAACGAAAGCACTAGGGCTTGGGGCAGAGGCACCGCTTTTGGACGCAGAAGCTCTCAGATTTTAAACCTTGACAGCTCAATGGACGAGAGGCGCGCTGCCTGACATAGCTGCTGCCAGTCCGTGTGGGGAAAGCTGAGCTGGGTGGAATCTTAATATAGTGTAGTTTCCTTCCTTCCTGGGCGGAGGCAGTGGGGCTGAGTGGTGGCAGCACCTTCCGCCGTTTTGTGGCCGGTTGGTCCCAATATTAATAGCTATAACAATAATAATAATTTCTTATTTATACCCCACCCATCTGGCTGGGTTTTCCCAGCCACTCTGGGCGGCTCCCGACAGAATTAAAAGCGCAATAAAACATCAAACATTAAAGGCTTCCCTAAACAGGGCTGCCTTCAGATGTCTTCTAAAAGTCAGATAGTTGTTTATTTCCTTGACATCTGATGGGAGGGCGCCACCACCGAGAAGGCCCTCTGCCTGGTTCCCTGTAAGCTCACTTCTCGCAGGGAGGGAACCACCAGAAGGCCCTCGGGAGAGGGACCCCGGTATCCGGGGTGGAGACGCTCCTTCAGGTCTACTGGGCCATTTAGGGCTTTCAAGGTCAGCACCGACCCTTTGAATTGTGCTTGGAAACGTCCTGAGAGCCAATGTAGGTCTTTCAGGACCCGTGTTATGTGGTCTCCACTCCCAGTCCCCAGTCCAGCTGCCAAATTCTGGATTAGTTGCAGTTTCCGGGTCACCTTCCAAGGCAGCCCCACGGAGAGCGCATGGCAGTAGCCCAAGCGGGAGAAAACCAGAGCGTGCACCACTCTGGCCAGACAGGGTACCCTTGATAGGGCAGAAACCCTCACAGCTTCACCGGGACTTGAACCCAGAGCTCCAGCGTCCAAATCTTAACTTCCTTTCTGCTACATTTCCAGTGTCCTTGTAGAGGGCGGGTTCTATTTGTTTCCCGGCTAAGGAGCTGGCCCTGATCCATGCATGTAGCATCAGTCGGCGTGCCTCACCCTGGGACCCAGTGGTCTCTCTCTTGTTTTGTTGCTGCATGGTCACAACGGGCTCATATATGTATATGTGTATAATTTATATACGGTCAAGAAAGAGGAATAAATCGTTTCGTCTCCGTCCTTTTGCGAATGTTAAGTCCAGTGCTGGATTTACGTATAAGCTAAGCAATTCATAGCTTAGGGTCCCCACTCTCTTGGGGGCCCCCAAAAAATTAAAGGGGGGGAACTGGATGTACATTTCCAAAATATAAGATTAAAAACAAATAAAATAAAACCTACATACAGCAACCGTGTTTTGTGTTGTGTAGGCTCCTCAGGTGTAAGTCATGGGCCCCGCCTGCTCCCTAAAATATCCCTGGTTTGCTCCTTTCTATAGGGTGCTGACATTCTGCATGGACTGGTTGCACGGCCACATGGGCAAATGGCTTGAGATACCTATGAGGTCCATAAATTACCATATACAGTGGTGCCTCGCAAGACGAAATTAATTCGTTCCGCGAGTTTTGCCGTCTTGCGATTTTTTTCGTCTTGCGAAGCACGGTGTCAGGAAAGTTTTGGAAAAGCTTCAAAAATCACCAAAGTCTTTAAAAACCTCAAAAAAGGCTACCACACCGCGTTCTATGAGTTGCTCCTTGAAGTCAAGTCGCAACTGTATTAACGGTGTTAAGAAAAAGGAAACAGACTTGCAAGACGTTTCCGTCTTGCGAAGCAAGCCCATAGGGGAAATCGTCTTGCGAAGCAGCTCAAAAAACAAAAAACCCTTTCGTCTAGCGAGTTTTTTGTTTTGCAAGGCATTCGTCTTGCGAGGTACCACTGTAGCATATATTCAACACAAAAAACAGTGACAATTTGTTGTTGACAAAGGACAGCTGGACATATAGGTGAAACTCGAAAAATTAGAATATCGTGGAAAAGTTCCTTGATTTCAGGAATTCAACTTGAATGGTGAAACTATGAGATCGACTCGTGACATGCAAAGCGAGATGTGCTTCTACTTCTCAGAGGTCCAATCTTGCTCGATTTGCAATCCTTGTTTTGCTGATTTCCTTGAATATTCTAATTTTCTGAGATGGTTAATTTGGGGTTTTCCCCAGCTGTGCGCCATGATCATGGCAATGATAACAAATCAAGGCTTGAGGTATCCCTTCAGGCAAAGGATAATGGCAGGATCCTTTGTGTTGGGGAGCCTTCCGTTTGAAATATATAGCGTGGATGTGAGCTCTGTCGCGCCAGGCGAAAAAATCACACAGGCTCAGATTATATATTTAAAAGTAAATTATAGTCCTTATGCGCTTGGAAACTCTCTTTTAAAGTAGATTGCCCTTTGCACCCCAACGTGACCTTCATCTCCTTTAATTTTATTTTCCCCCACTTTTTGGGGGTCCTCACTTTGTTGTTGTTGTTGTTGTCATTTTTAAAAAACGAATGCTAACTTGACTGGAAGTTGAACTAAGCTGCAACGCCGCCCAGCTTCCACCAGAGGGCGTTACACCGTTACAGATGTTACAGATGTCGCTCCAAATGCTGCTTCGATAAAGGGCTTGTTTCATTAGAGCTTCTGTAAATCTGGAAAATAGGGGCAGTTGGAGGGTCTGCACTACTGAGCTTAATGTATTCATCCTGTAAGGTTATATGCAAGGTTATACAGTGGTAAAGGTAAAGGGACCCCTGACCGTTAGGTCCAGTCGTGACCGACTCTGGGGTTGCGGCGCTCATCTCGCTCTATAGGCCGAAGGAGCCGGCCTTTGTCCGCAGGCAGTTTTTCCGGGTCATGTGGCCAGCATGACTAAGCCGCTTCTGGCGAACCAGAGCAGCGGACGGAAACGCCGTTTACCTTCCCGCCGGAGCGGTACCTATTTATCTACTTGCACTTTGAGGTGCTTTCGAACTGCTAGGTTGGCAGGAGCAGGGACTGAGCAACGGGAGCTCACCCCGTCACTGCGGGGATTCGAACCACCGACCTTCTGATCGGCAAGTCCTAGGCTTTGTGGTTTAACCCACAGCGCCACCCGCGTCCCTATACAGCGGTACCTCGGGTTAAGTACTTAATTCGTTCCGGAGCTCCATTCTTAACCTGAAACTGTTCTTAACCTGAAGCAGCACTTTAGCTAATGGGGCCTCCCGCTGCCACCGCACCGCCGGAGCACGATTTCTGTTCTCATCCTGAAGCAAAGTTCTTAATTTGAGGTACTATTTCTGGGTTAGCGGAGTCTGTAACCTGAAGCGTCTGTAACCCGAGGTACCACTGTATATCATTCCGGCAAGGCTCTTGACCACTGAACAGAAGCAAGGGACCTCTTAAGCCAGGAAGTAGGGACTCTGTACTGTACTTGAAGAGGCAGAGCAGGGTCAAGTCGCTCTTCCCAGATGCAACATGTTGTTGTTTTCCTGCATGGCGTCACTTCTCATTCTTATTTCTGCAAGCCTTAAAGGAATGTGAACCGCTTATCTGGCTGCCCACGCTCTGCTTCTGCAATATTTCCGGCGGACGCGGCTTCTGCTCCTGCAAAAAAACCCAGCTCCTTCCACCCAGCCAAGCTCTGTGCAAAAGCTTCCAGGTTCGGAGAAATCACAGGAGGCCGATACAGTGGTCCCTTGGTTCTCAGACTTAATCCGTTCCGGAAATTCCGTTCCAAAACCAAAGCGTTCCAAAACCAAGGTGCGCTGCTTTCCCATAGAAAGTCATGCAAAACGGATGGATCCATTCCAGACTTTTAAAAGCAGCAATTTAAAGTGAATTTGACTATCTAACGAGACCATTGATGCATAAAATGAAAGCAATAAACAATGTACCGCAATCAATCAATCAATCAGTAGCTGACCTGGGTTCCACAGTCACAAAAACAAAAGAAGAGCCACCAAAAGGAAAACGCAAAATAAATAGCAAAAATACAGCAGAACTCAGTGTAACGCTCAAATCGGAAGTGTGGCACTCAAAACGGAGCACGTTCGGCTTCCGAAAAAAGTTCACAAACCAGAACACTTACTTCTAGGTTTGCAATATTTGGGTTCCAAGTTGTCTGAGTACCAAGGTGTTTGAGAACCAAAGTACCACTGTAGTAGTAGTAGTAGTAGTAATTTATCATCTATACCCCGCCCATCTGGCTGGGTTTCCCCAGCCACTCTGGGCGGCTTCCAGCAAAATATTAAAATACAATAATTCACCAAATATTAAAACCTTCCCTAAACAGGGCTGCCTTCAGATGTCTTCTAAAAGTCAGAGAGTCATTTATCTCTTCGACATCTGACGGGAGGGCGTTCCACAGGGCGGGTGCCACCACCGAGAAGGCCCTGTGCCTGGTTCCCTGTAACCTCGCTTCTCGCAGGGAGGGAACCGCCAGAAGGCCCTCGGAGCTGGACCTCAGTGTCCAGGCAGAACAATAGGGGTAGAGGCGCTCCTTCAGGTCTGTGAGTAGGGAAGCATCCCCTCCAAGTGTCCCGGTTATCCAGGAACAATCACAGAAGGACCCAGGGAAATCCTGGGACAGCATGACAGAACTCAGGAGTGTGGGCGATCTATCGGGCAGATAAAATTTTGGCCGCCGCAAAGAGGTGGGCGCGGGTGTCTGTGCGATGCACAGAAAAGCAACAAGAAGTTTCTCAGAGAGGCCATCTGAGGACCCTTTCCTTTTGCACGCAGCAATGGGGTCTGTTTGTCTAAATAAGACACGCAATTTCTCGATGGGGTGGAAGAATGCAAAGAATCCGGAGAGGAAAAACCAGTTAGAGGAGAAGAGACAGAGGCCAGATAAAGGGGCTATATTTTTTTTTAACAGAGGGAAAGATACTTGCACCCGTTTCTAGCTATTAAAGGGGAGTTTTCTCAGGCGCGGTGGTTTCCAAATCTTCGTGACTCCATGGACCAGAGCACGCCAACATCAGGGTCTTCTCCAGGGAGTCTTCTCTTCTCCTGAGGTGGCCAAAGTCTTGGAGCCTCAGCTTCAGGATCTGTCCTTCCCGTGAGCACTCAGGGCTGATTTCCTTAAGAATGGAGAGGTTGGATCTTCTTGCAGTCCATGGGACTCTCCAGAGTCTCCTCCAGCACCAGAATTCAAAAGCATCCATTCTTCGGCGATCAGCCTTCTTGATGGTCCAGCTCTCACTTCCATACATCACTACTGGGAAAACCATAGCTTACTATACTGACCTTTGTTGGCAAGGTGATGTCTCTGCTTTTTAAGATGCTCTCTAGGTTTGTCATTGCTTTTCTCCCAAGAAGCAGGCGTCTTTTAATTTCGTGGCTGCTGTCACCACAAAATGCCAATTTCAAAGAAGGAGCACGTTTTGTTCCACACATCGTTTTGGGAATTAAGCATGCCCGCTTTTAGATGTGAAATGGAGCCAATTTCCTCCCCCTCCCTGCTCCAGAGTAGGCCCATTAAAATTAACAGCCATCTCCGTTAATTTCTACTTGTTTAAGGACCAACGACGGGTGCAAATTTGTGTGTGATTTTCACGTTTGTTTGTTTAAAGGGTTGTTCGGATGCTGTAGACAAGTTGGAATTTAAGGATGGCTTTCTGAAACCACTCCGGGCGGTTTCCATCTCTGGTTGCTCCGACGGGAAGTTTCCATGACACTCGGATGAGATGAAAGGAGCTGGCGGACATGAATAAACCATCGCTGCCCTGAATTATTTAGCGACGGACCTTGCGGCTTGCGAAAGGGGGGAAACGATCCCTTCGTCCCTCATTGATGTTTCTGCCACCTTTGTATATAAGCCATATAATATATAAGCCAGCCAACACTGAGCTTTATAACGCAGGCACCAGAACGAACCTCTTTTTAAAAACTAAAGGAGGGGAATCTTGGGTCTTCGATCGCTTCCAAACAACCTGCTCATTCGTACACCGTTATTTCTCGAATTTACGCCTGGCCCGCCCTCCCCAAGGAGCCCAGGGCAGATCAAGGAGACCCCAAGGAGACCTGAGAACCACCTGGATAGCCATGTGTACAGTGGTACCTCGGGTTACATACACTCCAGGTTACATACGCTTCAGGTTACAGACTCCACTAACCCAGAAATAGTGCTTCAGGTTAAGAACTTTGCTTCAGGATGAGAACAGAAATCATGCTCTGGCGGCGTGGCAGCAGCAGGAGGCCCCATTAGCTAACGTGGTGCTTCAGGTTAAGAACAGTTTCAGGTTAAGTACGGACCTCCGGAACGAATTAAGTACTTAACCTGAGGTACCACTGTATAGATGATACACAGCCTTGATACAAGCACGCGGAAAGCGAGCTTCTGGAATTCCTACCTTCTGCAGAAAAGCTGCATTATGGAGCCAAAGGTAGCAGGTCCTTTTCGGTGGTGGCACCCCGGCTTTAGAATACCCTCCCGAAAGAAGGAAGGAGGTCTTCTACAAAGCGTTCTTTTCAGCCCTAGGTGTATTTACCTTTTTATACACACATATAAAAAGCCGGTGGAACAGTTTCTGGTTTATTAACGCCGCGTTGATATTTTGTTCTTACGATCGCATCCCTGGAATGCATTTATATTTTGTTTTTTTAGAGTGGCGTGGAAACTGCCGAAATAAACTGACCGGTAACGGGGAGGATGCCCAGAACATTGCCCGTTTTGCAAAAAAAATAAATGCTGTTCGAAACCATTTGCCGTGCTGGGGAGTCGGGGCTCTGGCATTTTGATTATTGCAGCTTGTGGTTTCAACAAAATTCCGCACCACAATAGGCAGGAAATGGCTGGCGTAGTCCCCCCCCCCTTTCTTTTCATAGTGTATACGAGGAAATGAGTAATCAGAAAGGAGCAGCCCAAAGCAGGAAAGTGTCGCAATTATATGAACGGCAAAAGCCAAAACAAGACGCAGCCCCGTCCATTTGCAAAATTTTCGGGAGATTTGGCAGGGTGCGGAGGGAATCTGCTGAAAATTATTCCTTGCCTTTGGGGGTTTTTGATCTAGTTCTCGTTGCTTATTCAGAAGCACACATATCAGAAAGGTTAGGAAAATCATACGGCCGGCCGACATACCATACCTTTAAAGGAATTTGGCTTCCTGGGAATTGTAGTTTGCCCCCTCACAGAGCTATGCTTCCTGGCACCCTTAAACTACAGTTCCCAGGATTTTATTTTATTTTTGAGGGAAGGGAGTCTTAAATGTGCTTCAAGTGCACACTGTGTGTGCAGTCTTCTTGTTGTTTAGTCGTTTTGTCATGTCGGCCTCTTCGTGACCCCTGGACTAGAGCACACCAGGCCCTCCTGTCTTCCACTGCCTCCCGCAGTTTGGTCAAACTCATGCTGGTAGCTTCGAGAACACTGTCCCACCATCTTGTCCTCTGTCATCCCCTTCTCCTTGTGCCCTCCATCTTTCCCAACATCAGGGTCTTTTCCAGGGAGTCTTCTCTTCTCATGAGGTGGCCAAAGTCTTGGAGCCTCAGCTTCACGATCTGTCCTTCCAGTGAGCACTCAGGGCTGATTTCCTTCAGAATGGAGAGGTTGGATCTTCTTGCAGTCCATGGGACTCTCAAGAGTCTCCTCCAGCACCAGAATTCAAAAGCATCCATTCTTCGGCCATCAGCCTTCTTTATGGTCCAGCTCTCACTTCCATACATCACTACTGGGAAAACCAGAGCTTGAACTATACGGACCTTTGTCGGCAAGGTGATGTCTCTGCTTTTTAAGATGCTGTCTAGGTTTGTCATTGCTTTTCTCCCAAGAAGCAGACGTCTTTTAATTTCGTGGCTGCTGTCACCATCTGCAGTAATCATGGAGCCCAAGAAAGTAAAATCTCTTACTGCCTCCATTTCTTCCCCTTCTGTTTGCCAGGAGGTGATGGGACCAGTGGCCATGATCTTCGTTTTTTTTTTTGATGTTGAGCTTCAGACCATATTTTGCGCTCTCCTCTTTCACCCTCATTAAAAGGTTCTTTAATTCCTCCTCACTTTCTGCCGTCAAGGTTGTGTCATCTGCATATCTGAGGTTGTTGATATTTCTTCCAGCAAATATCAACAACAGTCTTGTGTGTGTGTGTGCAGTCTTAGATTATTTTAAAAGGGATAAATGCAAGGGAGAGAGGTGTATGAAAGCCACAAAGCCATGCTTGCTAAATAGAAAGAAACTCCCCGTTCCAAGGCAGTCTATCCCCGAACATCAATAGCAGAGGGTGGGACACAAGGAAGGGTCCGTTCCTCACCATACATTTAAAGCACATTACATTGCCCATAGAATCCTGGGAACTGTGGTTTGTGAAGAATGCCGTGAATTGTGGCGCCATGTAAGGGGGCAAACTATAGTTCCCAGGATCCTTTGAGGGGAGCCATGTGCTTTGAGGGTACGGCATGGACTTTGTGGGTCTTCGTGGACTTGTATTTTTCTGGCAACAGAGGGATCAAATTGATCTTTGGGGCTACGGCAGAGGAATTCACCTAAGTTTTACAAAGGAGACCTTTTAGGACAACTTATGATGGTTAACTCGGTTCCATTAAAATCACTGGGTCTGCTCTGAGGAAAAACTTGGTTGGCTATGTTGTAAACAAAAATTGCCCCTTTTCCCTTATGGGGTATCCAAGAGCCCATATAGAGTCCTTACATAGGTTCCCTATTGGAAGGAGAGAATAACAGAGGCCAACCAGAGAATATTGAAAAGCAAAGCAGCTAATAAGCTTGATCTTTATTGATCTGTTGCAACAGGGTGCCCCCTTCACACGCAATTCATATCTCAAATGTGCCCTTAAGACAGGAATTGTGAGGGAAGAGACAATGGGGAGGTTTCCCACTTTGACCTTACAGAGAAAACATTTGCTCAGTTTAGGAATCAAAATGGTTCCAGGTTGGCCTTCCTGTGCTGATCTATGTACGTGCTTGGTTGGTACACTTATGAACATTACCATATATCTAAGACCTCAAAATTCCTATCACAGCTACAACCCCTGATGTTCGCAACGAGATCCGAGTGAGAAACACACTCGGTTTTCCAGGATTCCTTTCGGTCGCAGAACCCAGATTTCTGCTTCTTGCAGAAGCGTTGGAGTTTGGTGCCCAGGCGGGCCCGCAAGTTCACAAGTCTCTCGGCTAAATGGGGGGTGGAGGGGAGGGCGATTTCATCTTGCCACGGGCAGAGAAAGGTAACCTGGAATTGAAATTACATCCCTCCCGGCCGAAACCCAATCCAGCCGTGTAACAGAATAAGCATGCGGTGCTGTCGCTGCCAAACAGATGGTGAACTGGAGACGGGAGCCTGAAATGAAAGCAAAGAAAACTGAATTTAAAACGCCTTTCTTGCATTCCCATTCTTCATTCCCCACCCCCAGGTCTCCTTCCCCAACTACCATGTAGTCATTTCTTCCGGTTTCTGCGCCTTAAGTTCTCCCTCCGCGGTTGATAATAGCTATAGTTGCCATCGAAATTGTTCAACCTCCACTGCAAACCAGGTTTGTTTTCGAAATTTACAGGCATTCTGCAATGAGCAAATCGAACAAAAGCAATTGAAATAGCCTTCTTTATGGTCCAGCTCTCACTTCCATACATCACTGCTGGGAAAACCTATTATTATTATTTATTTTATTATTATTATTATTAATCACCCTATACCTTGCAGTTCTCACATGATACAATATAAAAACACCAAATACATAATCAAAATAAAAACAACCCCCAACACATTTTATGGAGCACATTTTCTATGGATAACTAGCCCCTCTTTGGGAATTGCTAAATCCTTTTACCACAACGACTTCCTTGTGGTGGGGAGTTCCATAGCTCTACAAACCACAGAATCCTTTCCTGAATTTTTCCTACCCCTTTTTTTTATGGGGACTCAAAAGAGACTAGGAAATCCAGGGCCTAAAATCACCTAACCCCAGGACCGTGTGCTTGTTTTGTTGTTAAATTGTCAGCACCTGAACTCGGGATCCAGCTACAAATATATTACAGTCCTGGAAACATAGATACTTCGATATGCCCGTTCTCAAAATGGCCGCGGCAGCCTCACGTGCCAGGCTTCCGACGCCCGAAGACCCATCCACGCGCTCGCATTCCTTTGCCCATACCCAAAATGGCCGCCGAGGGGCCTCCCACCCTGGAAGACCGAGCGGGCAGCGAGGGGAGCCCGCCCCCAAAATGGCCTCCCCTCCCGACGCTCGAGGCGACGTCGTCATCGCGCCAATCGCAACGCGCGCCGGAGCCGGAGCCCGCCCCCGTCGCCTAGCCGCACCCAATGGGAGCCACGAGCCGGGAGGAGCCCCGCCGCCCGCCTCGTCAAGGTGACAGCGCCGCCTAGCCAATGGGGCCCCGGCGCCTCAAAAGGAGCCGAGGGCGGGTCCCGCCCCGCGCCGCCATTTTGTGAGTCTATATAACACGTAGCCGTTGAGCCCGCTCCTGCTATTCCAGCGCGTCCAGCTCCCGCTTCCCTTTCGGGTCGCCTTCGTGTGCCATGGACGGGTGAGCGGAAGGGAAGGGGGGCGGGGCGGGGACGGTTCGTGAGGGGAAATCACCTCAGGGAAAGAAGAGGAGGGGGGAGGGGCTGTTGAAAAGGGAGCGAAAGCGAAGCGCGGAGCTCACCTGAGGGGGGAAAGTCCCGCCTGAGGGGAATTCGAACCCGGTTCCGTGAGGGGGGGGCGAAAACTAGGCCTAAAAGTTGAGGCGAAGGCCTTTTCTGAGGTAAAAAGTGAAATATATGAGCGGGGGGGGGAAGAGGGGGAGAGAAGGGGAGCGGGCACGCGCGCGCACGCGCGCCGCCGTCCCCCCTCCTCTTTTGAAAGTTCCGTATGCGCGCGCATATGCACCCCCCCGCCCCCCCCGGCGAAAGTTCTAACCGGCGCGCGCGCGCCCCCGCCGCAACCGCGTTCCCGATCCGCGAAGGTTCTGAAGCGGTGAGCGCGCTCCCGCGGCAACGTTCGGTGCGCGCGCGCGCGGCCCGCGACTCAACGTTCTAAAGTTCTTCCTCTGCTCCTCCGAATAAAGTGGGGTTGGCGCCGGCGGGGGTGGAAGAAGGCGCATGCGCTTCAGCGCCCACCTAACCCGCTCCGTGGATGCTGGATCCGTCTGTGTTTCGAACCCACCCGTGAAACTTTGTTCCCAAGTGTCTTAGTCTCCGCTGCCTCGAGCGAAGTCTGCTCTTAGCCACGCCCTCTTTTTTTTCTTTCTCTTTCCTTCCTCTTTCTTACTCTGCCACCCCCCCCGACTTTTTTTTTGGGGGGGGGGTTATATTTTTTTTCGGGGGGCAGCCCTGTTCAGGGAAGTTTTTAATGTATGATATTTTAGTGTTTTTTTGGTTTGGCTGGGGAAACCCAGCCAGATGGGCGGGGTACAAATAATAAATTATTATTATTGCATCCCCTCCAACGTTTCTCCCCTGAAAATAGTGATGTCCTAAGGAACAGAGGGACGCAGATAGAGCTGTGGGTTTAACCACAGAGGCTAGGGCTTGCCGATCAGAAGGTTGGCGGTTCGAATCCCCACAATGGGGTGAGCTCCTGTTGCTCAGTCCCTGCTCCTGCCAACCTAGCAGTTCAAAAGCACGTCAAAGTGCAAGTAGATAAATAGGTACCACTCCGACGGGAAGGTAAACGGCGTTTCCATGCACCGCTCTGGTTCGCCAGAAGCGGCTTAGTCCTGCTGGCCACATGACCCAGAAGCTGTACGCCGGCTCCCTCGGCCAATAAAGCGAGATGAGCGCCGCAACCCCAGAGTCAGTCATGACTGGACCTAATGGTCAGGGGTCCCTCTACCTTTAAGGAACAGCGGTACATTCCGTAATTCCATCAGAAACTGGGAGGGCTTCTGTGAATCCAGGAGTGTCCCCAGAAAATAGGGGCACTTGTAGGGTCTGCTTGTGCCTCTTAAGGATGCAAGGACCCTTAACTAGGGGGTAAGTCCTGCTGAACTTTGATGCACTCGGGTTTGGCCTTCTGTTGCAAGAATATGTGCCCTATCTCATGAATGAACCCAAAATCACATGAGACGGTGGCGAAAGGCCTTTGAGCGATCTAAAAGAAAAAGGGAAGTTCGTGTGTGCAGTGTTGCACGTGGGTTAAAAAGAGAAGTTGGGGAGTGTGGCGAACCCACAAGTCTAGCAAAGGGCAGTGGGCGCTTGGGTAAGAGATTTGAGGACTGCAGAGGGTTGGGCTGGATGACCCTTGTGGGATATTTCCAGCAACTACACGGAGATGTTTGGGATTGATCCTGGCACCTTCTGCGTGTGAAGCAGACGCTCTACTGTTGAGCAATGGCCCTTCCCAAAACCGGGCGCAAACATGCTTAAAGGTGCTTATTCTTCTGTCCTCCTTTTTTTTACAGCTTAGTCCCGAGTGAACCAGGGCAGCGGATGCCCTGGAGGTGCCAGAGGTTGAACTTTGAGGAGTAAGCAAAGCGAACATCTGAAATAGTTCACACCCCACCCCACTGCTATGTAGAAAGGAAGCAATGGTGGCTGGGAATAAAGCTGTGTGAACTGAGCGATGGGTGTGGAAGAAGAAATAAGGGTTTGCAAAAGGATGAAGAAGGAAATCTTGGGGGGGTGTCTCTTCAGACACCCTTTAATGTACTTAAGGAACAATTAGTGGTTTGGATTATCCTCATTAGCCTGATGCAGAGTATACCTTTCACTCCCCATGCCCCCATGGTTCCCATATTCTCTGTACTCTCCCCTCTTCTCTGAATTGCAGCTTTGCAGGCTGCTGCCTTCCTTTGGTCGACTTGCTTCAAGCACCCCATTCTATGGGTCAGGGTAGCTGCCTCCTTCTCCCCACGACTTATATTTATGAAGCCTGTGTTGTGCTTCTCCCCCACTTCCTATCCTTATCTGGAAGCACATTTTCTCTTCTGAACCACCCCTTCTCCAACGCCTTCTCCCTGAGTACCTGAAGTGTTTGGTTGTGACCCTCTTGCCTCAGTCTCTTTAAGTGCGCGCTGGTGAAAGAACGTACTAAAAACACTGTTCACTTCTCCCTTACTGCCAGGATGGATGAGAACTTTAAACTCATTCCCTCGCAAAGGAGTTCCATTGTCAGCATACTTTCCTGGAGATCATTGATTGACCTTGGGTCAACTTTGTAGATAGTTTTTCTCATTGCCTTGGTGGCAAGCACGTAACTGCCTAGGCAACGTGGTTGCAGTACTTTGCAACATGGGCAGGCCAGCTTGCAAGGTATCTCCCCCCCCCCCAAACTAGAACCCTGAAGCCTAGCAAATAGAAGTAATATACAGTGGTACCTTGGTTGCTGAACGTAATCCGTTCCGGAAGACCGTTCGACTTCCGAAACGTTCGACAACGGAGGCGCAGAGGGCGTTTGGCAATGTCAGTGGAGAAAATTGAAAAAAGCGCAACAGAAGCCATTCGACTTCCGAGGCGCATTCGAAAACCGAAGCATTTACTTCCGGGTTTTCGGCATTCAAAAACCAAAACGTTCAGCTTCCAAGGCGCTCGAAAACCGAGGTACCACTGTACTCCTAATAATTAAGGAACAGGCCGTGTTTTGAATTCCCCAGGCATGTTTTGCTATTGACACAGGTCCAGTTGCAACAGCGTGGAGATTTCTGGGTGTCACGTTGGCAACTGACATCTCCATGGAGCCACCTGACTCACGCGCAGTCCTCCATTCAGACATCAAGGAAAATTAAGTGCAGGGCTGAGTACAGATATTTTGACTGTCTTGCAGCCTTTCCACAAGCAACCCAAATGGAACTCGGACCACAGTTTAAAAGGCTCTGCCTTAGTCATAAGTTAATACCATTTCCATTTCCACTGTGTGTGTTTTTCCTTCTTGCATACTGAGACACCCTTATGTACTTTGCTTAGCTTTTGCGGGGAAAGGATACTCCATTTTAACTTGTTTGCAAATGAAAGTTTTTGTGCAGTTCATTGCTTCCCTGTCTGCTACTTAATTCTAGTTTTCTAGTTCATTCTTCATGTGGTTTTACCTTCTGTTGTGTGGGTGCCCATTCAGTGTCCCACAGGCTGTTCCCTCCAGCTTCCTCCCACTTTGAGTGTGTCAGGAAGCTTCCCACCTGCTTTTCTCTGCATTGCAAAAAAAAAAGGCTTGCTGGGAAGGTCCTATTTCTGCCACACCCTTCCATTTACCTAGAAAATGCTTCCTCCTTTAATTTGCATGCGAATCTAAGTTTCCCCTGCAGGCGTAGTTGGGTGGAGATTTGTTGCCTAGGTGTGGAGAGCAATGTATGCCTGGGACTTCTGCTTTTCTTTTGAGTCACCTTTTAAAGGTGACCTTGAGAACCACAATAAACTAGTCAGTATATTGTCCTGGCAGTTCCTGTCCATCGAAACAGTTCTGTCATTCCATTTGGTTCAGACAACAAGGGTAAGTTATAATTCTGAGCCAGAAATCAAACTTCTTGGGCGCCAGCCCTGTATAGAGCTGGAAAAAAGAAACCATCGCATCTGAGTGCCACTTTAAAATTCCAGTGTAACTGGGTGCCCGAAAGTATTTCAGCCCTGGTGCCACATCGCAGAAAAAAAATTCTGTGTCAATTGTCAATCAGTTGATTTCAACTTCTATTTCCTATTGATGGGGTGAATGTTTTTTCCACACACACAGTCCATGGTGAATGTGGAAGGAATATCCAATAAAAACAAGGAATATTTTCAGATAAATGGGAATAGGTTCCTTAAACTATGACCGGCAACCCTTCTCTATCTTGAGCTCCTGTGGCCAGTTCTGGTGGTCCCTTACTCAGCGGGAGAGCAACACCATTCAGAAGCAGCTGTACTCCCAAGCCTGGATCACATTGTCTACTCTCCAACAGAGCCTCTTACCTTGTCAGGAATGAACCTCAACTTATTAGACCAAATCAAATACATGAGTGTATCTGGGCAAATCATTGAGGATTTTCACGGCTTCACTGTGGCACCAGGTGAATAAAAGGAAATAGAGCTCAGTATTGGCATAGTGGTGGCATCCAGACCCTCAGATGACCCAAAACTTGCATTCTGTTTGATGCAGTTCTCTGTCTTTAAGAAGTGATAAAGACCGGAATAGCTGACTACCACTGATAGATGTAGTTTTGCAAAAAAAATAGTTTCCTGGTGGGAGGCAAAAAGTGGACTTCCTTTGGTAGGAAATCTGTCCGTTAAAATGCTGAGCCCCAGGAATTGGTCCTGATAACAAAGTTCCTTTGGCTGGCAAAGTCCATATATTAAGTTTCCTGTAAGTATCTCCCACCATTCCACTCCCAGCCTTGACTCTTCCATGGGAAATAACTCCTTCAGTATGTTCTGATGGAGCTTGTCGATTTGCCTCGAAGATCACGCAAAAACCTACATAAAATAGTTTCCAAGCAGCTAATAACAATTTCTCATTAGGTATTACTGAACCTAACAGTTGCTCGGTTATGATCAGTTTAAAACCATTGTCTCAACTTGCTGTGTAAAAAAAATAATCCTTGAATGAGCCCTTCCCCAGAGAAGCAGGAAATAAGAGTCATTGCTCTGAGAATAACTTTTGAGAGTTAGTCAGTCTTGGGAATTTCCTCCTATAGATGAACAGAAGCAAAATGGCTTTTCAATAACCCTGTATTTTTTTTAATCTCTTATACAATTTGCATGATGACGAAGCAGTGGAAAGCATCTCTTGGCTGGGCTTCTCTGCTCATTTCACAGATGGGTTTAATTAGTCCACTTGAACTAAGCATTCAAGATCTCAACAAAACCCATCTGTCTCCGCTGGCAATTCTAAACACCAGTGGGATTGTAAAAATCCTGCATTCCCTCACTTGAGCTTTCTCTTTTTTTAAAAAAAAGTCGTTGGTTCGCAATGGCGATTGCTGC